GGAAAAGTATCAATTTTAAAAATTCTGTTTCTCTTCTCGAAAATTTAGCAATACGTAATAAAAATAAGTAAAGATTATTGTTAACAAAATACTGTACCCTATAATCCGGAGCAGATCCTTGCATATCGTGCTTCAGATACAAGGGATCTACATTGAAAGCGTTGATAACGTAAGTCGGATCTTTGAGCCACATGGTTGAACAATCGAAGTTCACCAACATCCATTTGTGCGGGTTGAAGTTGAAGGAATCTGCCAACTCTACGCCCTTCATTAGGTATCGAAATTCCGGGCAAATGAAGGCAGAACCTGGTGTAAAGAATAGTTGAGAAAATAAATTCTAACTTAACCATAAATTTTGGATAAGTTAATTCTCCGTAGTACTTACCAGCGTAAGCTGCATCGACGTGTAACCAAACGTTCTCGCGATTTGCAACGACGCCCATTTCATCGAGACGATCGAACGCACAAGAACAGGTTGTTCCTAATGTCGCGACAGCCTGTAAAATAATTGTGATACAAGTGTTATCCCACAAGTGTAAATTTGATATTTACTATTCGAAAAATTTAGGTGGTCCATCTCCACACATAGGGTCCATTACACCCTTATTTATCCTATAGGGCATTGATCTATGATCTATATTTTATTAAAGCATAGGAATAGTTGTTTTATTAATCGCCGATACAGGTTCACGGTTGCCGAATGCTGAATAGAATAGAATACAATACTCGATACAATACTATACTGATCTAAGACTATTTCCGCACGTATTCTTATACTCTTTTTCGCTACCAATGTTGAACGAATCAGGAATTACGTTAATTGTAATTGGCGCGGCTGAAGCTAGTAAATAGATGACAATAAACACTTTCTCTCACTCATTCTCGTCGTAAAAAAGTTTGATTCATTTATTTAAACAAAAAATTAGAAAGTTCAAAGCAATGTGACCCACGGTGGGTCACGCGGCCTCGCGGTGTAAGGCAGTTGTGACCCACCGTGGGTCACTTGGAGTTCAACGTGTTAATACGTCACTTGAATTATTCTATCTGTAAGTTGACGAATTTGAAGTAGTAGACCTCTTAAACTTACGTAGAATGGAATCAGTCCTTGTTCTTTGTCCTTGCGAATGGCTTCCATGAGTGTCTCACCGCGGAGTTTGTATTTGGAATCAACTTCCAACAGGCGGAATTTTACGCCTCCGAGAAGACCAGCTCGTTCTACAGAACTGTGAGATTGACCTGAACGATAAATGTGTACATTTGTTTATCCGTCACAGGTTGATAAGTTAAGAGTAAAAAAGTGATAATATAAAAGCTAAAACTGAGGAGTACAATAAAAAGTAATTTACAATTTAATAAGTAATTTACAATTTAAAGGAATAATACACATTTAGTAGAAACAGTTTGTTGCTACCAGTTTGCAATCATTGAAAAAATACACTTTATATTGTAAGCCAGAATCGTAAGTTCATAAACTCTTGTACTTATAAATTCTATTTAAATGCTTAAATAAGTTGAGTATCCTTAAGTCGAGGCTAAAATAATCACTTAAATGGTATTCATAGTTTATTAAATAAACCAAATTTAAAGAAATGAAGGATTTATTTTAATTTTACATTACACGAAATAATGAATTTACAACAATTGTTCTTGTTGGAGTGATTCAATTCGAGCATGCGTATTACGACCCGGTGATGGTTGGTTCGTGCGCCACGACACCATGCGGTCGTCGAGTCGCTGTATCGTTGTATTATATTATTAACATAATAAACAGTCAGCTCTATATCTAAGTACCGTTTCTGTACGTTCTCCCCAACTCTAACAGTTCTCTTTGCTGTTAAATTCCCTTTAAGATTCATAAGTAAGGCTGCAATAAAAATCTTTTCCCATTTTCTTTTTATAGATAGGCAATCAATTGCCCTCTCAATTCTTCTACTTTAACAGGAGCTTCACAAAATAAGTCCAGAATTAAAAGAAGGAAAAATCTGAAGCCCTTTTTAATTTTCAATATCTACAGCAGAATAGCCAACAATCGTTATTCAGAGGAATATAACTACGGGGAAATAAGAACTTTCATTTCAGAAGTATCACAATCCCACGGGATATTTATGATATAACTATTCTCTTCCTATTCACCCAAGAATTGATTATCCTCTCAATTCTTCAACTTCAACAGGAACAATCCAAGTTCTACTTTAACAGGAGCTTCACAAAATAAGTCCAGAATTAAAAGAAGGAAAAATCTGAAGCCCTTTTTAATTTTCAATATCTACAGCAGAATGGTTAATAATCATTATTCAGAGGAACATCAACGACAGGGAAATAAAAGCTTTCAATTCAGAAGTTTCACAACCCCATGGGATCTATTTATGATATAACTATTCCTTTCTTATTCACGCTGATTACGGTATATTCTACAGGGTGTACAGTCTCTATAAGTAATGCAGGATCGCCAGTGTTTTTGCCTTCGCTCGTTCGTTTCTCAAGAAACGAAATAAAAGCTCAGGAAGGGAGCAAACCCTTCTCGCGGGGCCTCGACGAAGCGCGTTAGTTTCAACCGTTGCGGAAAAACCCAAGTGTGTGGAAGTGTGAATTTCCGGGAGAGAATGGAGAGGGTACATGTTGAAAAATGAGTGTCATTGTGGGGTAAGATTTGTAAGAGAGGAGACTTCGACGTTGATAGTGTTACGAATCGCGATATGTTTGTTGCGAAACCGATAATTGTCCCTCTTTTTGAGTCAGACCATTTAAGGAATCTACTCGGGATAGGAGACTCAGGTAGTGCTCGGAAGATAGACTATTAACGCACAACAGTTTGCTGTTAAAACTATATATTTATGAATGAACGTGAACAGAGCGCGAAATTTCTAGGCTTACTGATAGGAAAATTGTGTGTCGTGTCCTGTGGTGTTCGCTATTTTATAAACTACGCGTGTGTTGTGATTGGTGGTGTGAAAACTGTCGTAGGTGGTGGAAGTTTGGGGTGTGTCTGCTGGTGGTGTGAAAGTGTGAAATTTCTTCTTACATTTGTTATATTGCTTCTCTGAAATTGGTGATGTCGAAGGTCTGTTTTGTTGTCTTAGGGCATATGGTGTCCAGGTGTGAGAGTCGTCGAATTTTTCGTGTAATAAAGTAATTTGCCCATGCCGGCTAAGACCTCGCTTTTTAGAAGGTGCTGTCTATTGAAAATACCGATGTTATTGTTCGGCTCCTCGGTACGGCCGAACAAACCAAGCGGCGTCTGTTACGCATGTGACAATAGCGTGGAAAGAAAAATCGTGTGGAGTAAAATTCATAGTCTTGTCTTATTTACTTTCCTTAATAAACTATTATTTCAAATACACTTTTCGAACCTCGATCACAATTCCAAACAAAATCCCACAGTAAAATAACTAAACAATCCCGAAGCGATACGACTATTCTTCTATTCACGATGCTGGCGCGTAAAGCAAGTTACACCGAGGGTAGAAAATTGGAAAATGCTTTCACCTGCCGGTAACTTTTTGCGATTCGACGTGCCGGTAAAGACAAACGGTAACAGGAGCAGATACCGAGTAAAGGGGTGGGTATGGGTGTTCGAAGCTGACAGGGTTGAAATAACTCGAGTGGTTATTACGCGTTGCCATGGTAACAAAGTGCTGGTTGATGAAGTGGCGCAACCCCATACTCGGCCTGTCATCCCACCCTCTGGCTCGTGTGCCTTTGTCAAATGTTAAAGAGAGCCGGCCAACGTCATCGTTAATCTTGTTTACAGAGAATCACGGCCGGGTAAGGGATCGAATTTTTATCCACCTAATCGACAATCCCCTCGGTGGTGTTCTTATTTTTTTCTTTTACTTCTGGATTAACGTGGAAAATTCACGTGACCCTTCGGGGAGATGTAGGTAGAGGGGTGGAGCCGATTGTTTCGATGAAAGTGTAATTTTGGTGGTTGGAATAAGGGGATGATCGAAAATTGAAAGAAGTGCTTCTTATTATTTTCAACGAAGCTCATGGTGTGTAATTAAAAAATTTAGTTAACTGAATTTTTGAAAGAGAAATTTCTTTGTTACCACGAGTTTGAAATCCTTTGTACTTTTATTTAATAAACTATGAAAAATAGGTGGATTATTAAAAAATTTAATATTTGTAGATATTTTAGACTGAGAAGTGCTTCAACTTATGTAAGTGTTTAAATAGAATTTATAAATAAATATAGGAGTTGACAAACATTTAGCCAGGCTTGCAGTATAAACTGTGGAATAAGCGGATAACTGAAAATTGAGAGAATTTTCACGATAAGATGACAATGGGAAAGACAAATTTTTAATTGACTACTATTTTTGCTAGAAATTCGTCGAAGCACCATGCAAATGGTAACAACAAGAACGAGAATTAGACGCATTCTTTAAGTTTCTATTTTTGGTCAAAGTTGTACTTCATCTTGTGCAATTCACTTTGCAAATATATGAACGCGAGAATCGTTATTGTTTGAAATGAATAAATATTAAATACAAAAGAAGTTAATATTTAAACAGAACAGCAATGCACTATTGTGACTTTAAAATGATGTTTAAAAGAATTACTTACAGGAACCATAAGCGACTAGTTTTCCCACTATTTCGTTGTCCGTCCATTCAGGATGTTGTTCCTTGACCTGCCGTATTTTTCTAGCCTTGGCGCCGAGAAGTGCAACTAAAGTGGCTTCGCTCGCAGTTCCCTATAATGTGAAATTGATCGTTAATTACTATTTACGAACAATCAATTTAGTCGAAGGCGAGGCTTAAGACTCGCGATGTAAGGCTAGAATAGGAGAGCAACAGGTCAACGTAACAGCGATTTAACGAATAAAAGTTTTTCCTAGAAGAGCAAGTTTTTAAGTTTTGCAAAGGATTAGGATTTCGCCAAAAACGAAGCAAATTTAATTACAAATAAATGTCTTTCTTTTTCAAAACATAAGGAACAAGTGCAATTTCTTTTTAATAGAATTACCTGAATGACACCGCCTCCTTTTCCACCACTGCAGGCTAAAAATTCCTTGGGCAAATCTAACATTTTTCCTAACCAGTCGAGCATTATTACTTCCAACTCGGTACAAGCTGGACTAGCGATCTGTACACAAAAATTTATTTTATGATAACACCGTCCTCAGCTTAATTGGCCCTAACTAACATTTTTCAAATGTCTGAGAAAAATCAGGTTTTATAATTTAAAACCATTTCTGAAACAGCTAGGATAAGTAAATCAGGCTGTTTTCTAGAACTTTGCAAAGCATGAGGAACATTCTAATTTCTGTTTAAAAGATGAGAAACATGGAGATTCAAAATGGAAAATGAAAAATTGGTAGATAAAGAAACACTTGAGAGCAGTTACTTCTTCAAAAAGTGTTCAATTTAAACTGTGATTAATCAAAGGGAAGAAAATATTCAGAACACAATAAGAAAATAAGCTACTATTTGTGAGTTAATGATGGTTATTTACCCAGGTAAATCCTATGCAAGCAATAGCACCGCTAAGCATGTCAGCGACGATTGCTGGGTACGACTGAGCTGTCGGAAAATACGCGTGAAATTTTGGACTGTGCCAATGAGTAACCTAGAAAAATAAATATGTCTTCAGAGGAAACTTTTAATTCAAAATTTGTTCGCTTTAACCCTTCAGTGACCAGTGGAATGATCGATTTAATATCCAATACAGACTCTATGATTGGCAGATAAATATGAAATTCGGTCACGAAAGGGTTAATATAAACGAGATATCAAGCGTTCCATTACCATAAAAACGTCTCTTCGAGAATGTGAATTCAGTTTTAGCATTAAACTTTGAGATTGAATTATAATTCAAAAATTAATATATTACTTTTAATATCTTTTATAATATTTTATGATGTAAAGATTACACGAAGAACATTGTTTAGCTTATTATACCACATACCCCTGGCATTATTATCTTCTCAATGTCCGCCATAACGTCCTTCCAACTTTCTGGTGCTTGTGGAGCCTCAGAAGGCAAAAGGGGTTTCATGTAACCTGGTTCAACTGTTGGCAGTACCCTCCTGTAAATTTCATCCTATTAACACTTTTTTTTAGTTGTGTCTATATTTCCTATGAACAGCAGAAGATAAGGCGAGAGATTAACTTTAAAATGAATATTATATTTATATTTCTGTAGTTTTAAAAATGAAAATGATTTCCCGGAAATTTGATATTTTCTGTATTTTACAGTTTTAGAAATGAATTGCTTGAAAAATTTGCACCATACTATCTTTTTGTGTAACAACGAAATAATAAGTAAATTAATGTAAATTCTTAGTATCTTAATATTATTTAATATTCTCAAATTTACTCAAACTTCAAAAATGAAGTGTTTTAACATTTAAAGAACAATGTTAGAAAATATGTCGCTGGAAGAAGCGATTTACAGAAATTCTTCTGTGATTAATACCAAAGAAAAAGAATTTTCGTTATGGTATATCACATTAATGTATCATACCGCAATGCTGAAGACAGCGTGTAAAAAAAAAATACGAAGGACGCTGGAACAGGATACAGCAATAATAGATGATAAAAAATTCACCTGTCCCTGATGTTCTCCAGATAATTAGTAACATATTCTGCCATTTCTTTGGCGAAATCCTTGAAACTGTCGGGATCCATTTCACGTTTCCTGCAATATTCGAAGATTCTGTTAATTAATATTTCAAACTGCTCTATTGCATAATGATCGCTATTGTACGCACGAAGCAATACACAGGTAATCATTGATCTTCAATCTTAATCGATCGCGGTCAACAGCTGTTAATAGTAGCGTGCAAAAAAATATTACTTCTTTCTTGAAAAACTGTGTACAATACAAACACAACTGTAATAATAATTTTGCCAGTAATTAAGACGATAATTAACGATTACATTTCAACGAAATATTGTTCGATAACTGCAATCAATAAAGGAAAAAAAGTGTCATATTTTTTATTTGTCACCGCATGTTCGCAGTGTTAAGTAATTATGGTGATTTTCGCTCGTTCAGTTTAGTCTTGTTTAAATAAAATAATCACTCCACCTAAATCTAATTTAGAGCTTATTCTTTGTACAACGTATGTATCCTTTTGTTCGGCAATTGTTGCTAGTTGTGTGTTAATAAAATGCGTTTAATGGAGAAATTTACACACGTATTTCTAATCTTTATCTTAAAAATCGATTGTTCGTAACTCGACTAAAAGAATATAATTTCTCGTCTTTCTTTTGACAATTGATATTTTACTATAAAAACTGCCGTTTATGAATCTACCAATTCTTCCTTTTATCGTCGCTTTAAAATTATTTCACGCATTTCTGAAAACAACTAGCAAGAAACTATGTCAGTCGAAAGTGAAAATGACGTTTATGCTTAATAACAAGTGTTACTATGTACATTTTTGTACGCATACAGGAGGATTACTTAAATGCAAACAGTAGGTTTAGGTATTGGTTATATGTATGTTCTTCTGATGTATGTATTTGACTGTTATCAACATAAACGAGTTGCTAATTTATATTTTTATTTTATTAAACAAAGCATTTTAAAATTCATCTCTTTTTTCCATTGTGCAAATTGTTCCATTATTGTTAAAGTTTTAAACGCTATTTGAAACTGTTTAATATGCTATTTGAGCATATTTTAGTTGTAACAGTTTTACTGTAAAAGAGTAATTTTAACATACACAATTATCCATTAAAGAATTACATTCTTTTTATTAAAAAATATACAGATAATGATGTTGTTCCATAAAAAAGTTGTTATTATCAAGTTTGATATTGGAGCATTTGTCAGTTGCATCAATTTTACTGCAACAGAGTAATTTTAATATACGCAATTATCAATTAAAAAATGATTTCGATACAACTACGAAATTTGATAGTAGAATTAGTATCGCAGGAAATGTAACGTAAACACATATTACCTTTCAAGCATTCACTTATCCGTTTAACCTCTTAACAATACCACGATCATGCTTTAACAACCGGCAAGTTTTTTGATCGATTACAAAATCTTCATCAATTAGAAACACAATTTTTCTTCCCAATACCTTAGTTTCTATTTTAACAACTTTTCACACTCAACCGAAATTACTTTCGCCGTATAAAATTCTAATTGTAGCACGTGAAGTAGGCAAGAAAATATCGTCGAAATCTTTCGAAACGAAGGCGTACGTCCCCGAGCAACGACGTTCAGATCGTTGGCAGCGTTCTCTGTACGCAATGCAATAATTGGCGAGACTAGCCTTCTCAATGTGGGTCCTGAGAATCGTGATAGGAGGCAAGAAACACGTGTCTCGTCGTTGAATAGAAAGAAAGAGAGAGAGAGATTGATCTGTTCAGAATGGTTTACAGTTTCCATGACACGACAGAGAGACAACTTGACTCGCGAGCGTCCAATGACCATGACTCATTTTTGTGAAACAAGTTCCGTTTCGCTCTCCTTTCCCCATCGCCAATTTGTCATAGAGTATTCTCTGTTGATAGAATAGAACTCGGTCGCTCAACTGACTTGTCATCTGATTCTTTCGGATGGAGTCTTTGTATGGTTTGAAACGTTCCACAGCTCACTTTGTCGTAGAAATGCTTGGGTGATTAACGAGAAGTGTGATTGTACTTTGAAATGTTAATTCGAATGCTGTACTGCAAAACTAGTCACTGTAATTGTGTTAGAATTATACTGCAATTATAAAGTTGGAGGTATGAAAATGACATGGTGGACATGTGATTGTTAAAAGTACTTTAACCCTTTGCGGTCGTATGTCTGCTCTCAGCCACCATAGCACTTATATCACACGATTGAGAAACATAAAATATAATTTTTCTATAAAATGAAATCACACATTATTGTGTTAAACATATGCAAAGTTGAAAAATGAAATTTTGTATTTACAATCTTGCGTTATGTTATCAGTTTCCGTTCAATGAAAATTAATTAATTATTCCGAATTAAAATTAATTTCGACCGCAAAGGGTTAAATTAGTACTAAACAGGAGAGTAGTTGTGCTCGCAATTTTGACAAATATCATTTTGAATTTTGACAAATATCCTTTCTAATTTTTACAAAGAACAACTTTTGCAAAAATCCATTTTAACTTCGACAAATATCATTCTTAATTTGTTTGCAAATTTCGTCACATATCCTAACTCTAACGTAACGAAACGATAATAAATTGCAGTTGCTTTGTACATTTTCCTTATGCACTGCAATCTTCGTTTTAACTACAGCGGTATTCTACGAAGGAAGGAAATGACCGAGGATTTACCGCAGATCCTCGCACGTCAACGAAAGTAGGGATTCCCGCGATCGCGACAGTGACGTCAAAAGACCAAGTACAGAGGATCCACTTTTAAACGTGCATTAAGCGTTTTCGGTCATTGAACTCATCGACACCCAGGTGATCACATGGTACTTTCACATACACGATGTTTTCCTTTTAAAAATGTACACTCCCGTTCATAAGTATTACGTCACTGAATACGAAGCAAACGTAAACAGTCGTTACAAAATTAACACGATTCTGAAAAAGAAAAATGACGATAAGGCTTCTAAATATGTATTTATTTCTATTCAAGGTGCCGTTCTGAAAATAGGATCCTAGCAGTGTGTCGTTGATTATGTCACACCAAACATCCACACGAAATTGATTTTGAAAATGAGTTTCTTGCAGATCCTTGAACTTTCATGCGATGTAACAGAAATTACAGCTATCAGTTTAAAACGATTAAACACAAATTTAAAACATCTATTCAAGCCATCGTATTAGGTATAAAAAATAATGAAACTTTATTCTCTTTTATTTTTCTCACAGATCTACCACTTACGAGAAAAATAATAATAGCGCGAACCTCCTGCATACTTTTACGAATGTTGATACTAATTTTCACGCGGCAATGTAACTTAAATGGTATAAATTATTGCAAGTTTGAATCGTATTGCGTATAAAAAGTGAAACTTTTTCCTCTGTTATTTTTCTCGTAAGTCTGCCGCTTACGAGAACAACGCTGAAAATTAATAACGCGAACACTCTGTATATTTCGGTGAAGAAATGTAATTTAAATCGTATAATACTTTCTGCACGAACATATTGGGTGTCCTAACACTTATGAACGCCGGTGTACACTCTTGGTGAAGCTCGAAATGCATAAATACAAGGAAACTGGCCTTGTACGCAGAAATGATTACGCAGAGTGTTGCAAGGATTGTACAAGACAGCACAACTTTTCCTTTCGTTTTCTGAAACGTTGCGTGTCACTTTGTTTCAATTTTCGTATAATTTTGTTAATCTTCAAGTGCAACGCATTTAGCTCCACAGTTTTTTCTTTTCATTCAAGTGCAAATACTACTTGGCGAAGTAAATATTAATAATGTTTAGAATTTTTCATTTTATAACATCTTTTTAAAAAAACTTGCGAGTAATTATGCAGATTTTGTACAATTCACGTTTTCATTCTTTGATTGTATTTTGATAAATGATTAGATAATCGATAGTACAGAAATGTATTGTTCAAAAGGTGTAAAATTATTAGATAAACAGTAGCGTAAAAATATATCATTTAGAAAGTGTGAAATTATTAGATGAACATCATTTAAAAAGTGTGAACGTAAGAACATTTTCAATAATTACACAAAATTTCGATTCCTCAGACATTGAAAAATTTAGTGTATTATAAGGAAGGTTAAAAATTGGATCAGACTATAAGAAAGTTGAAAATGTTAGACTACGTTACCTCATGTACAGGTAGATCAGCGGTTCATCAACTAGACATGTTTTATACGCTTCGAGCTATTTCATAATACATGCACTACCGGCCAAAAGTTTGGAATCACCTCCCATTTTTCATCGATATTAAATCTGCTGCTAATTTTTTATAGATTTCAAGTTTATCTCAATTCTACATTTATCAATTTATCTCGTATCAATTGATTCGAACGACAAAAAATTCTCAAAGTCGCTCGACTTTTTTCTGGAAATTTTTGTGTAAGTTGCAATGCTCGGTGATTCCAAACTTTTGGCCGGTAGTGTATCTTTGCAGTATTTGGTCTAGATCGACCATGACCGATTGTCGATTCTTTAATTCTCGCTACGATCTAACAAGGTTGCTGTTATTACGTTCTTATACAAGAATCAAGTTCTTGCCCCTTTTCACAAGTTACCCAACGAGAATTACTCAACACTCCTACCTTTCAATTTTTAATTACTCCAGATCTACTTCACGCGAACTACGTTTCGGAAACTTGAAGAGAAATTTCGATAGATTTCGAAGCGTGAAACTTTTATGCATTTGCAATAATACTTACGCATTATTTACACACCGAACTTGATAACATTGGCAAATATGGAAAACGGATCGAAACATATCATTCATGTCAGAATTTGATTTAATATCTGTAGTCATAAATTAATTTTAATATGTATGTATTCGCTCCTTTAATTAAAAAATGTTCCCTGTCCGCTGTATAACGCACGATTATGGTTCTAATTAAAAGGAAAGAAGTTTGTTAAGTTGGCCTATGAAAATTTTTACACGAATTAGGATTGAAAAATCAGAGGAATCTTTCAATTGATCACGCGTGTCATCGCAACAGAGAAAGAAATCTCTTTTCTTTGGGGGCAATTGTATGCATAAAAATAGAAAACGTATCGTTGTTCCTGTTAATGTGCATAATTCTCCATCAGTGTCAGTAATGTGTTTGTTCATTTCGTAACTCTGTTTATTTCGAAATTATTCTTAATACTTGTATCTCTTAAAAATCGCTTCATAAATGATCTTCACGTTATCTCGACAATGTTAATAGTTAGATCGCGCGTGATTTGTAAACAAGTTTATGTATGTATACACTGCAACTCGCGCGTTCAGTTGTTTATGTAGGTTAATCGAGTAATAGGAATAACTATTCTCAATGGAAACTTTCGTGCAGCCTTTAATAATTATTGTACTTTCGATAGAAAGAAATATGAAAGCCATTCGGTACAAGCTCTGTTAAAAAGAGTTCCGAATATGAAACGAGATAGAAGACACATAGTAAAATAATTTAGGTTATTCACAAGACATCTGATTTTTAGATACCTCAATTAATTTCGAGCTCTTTTTCACAAAGTCTTGACGCCCTCATCGGCTAAAAACCGCCATATTCTTTCAGAGAGGGAATTCATTAGTTACCTGATAAATGGGAAAAGTTCGTTCAAAGTAAATGTAAATTATTTTCAATATTAATATTGTGTTAGATTTTTTTGGAAATAAGTACCGAAGTTTGTGAAAGAAGGTACAAAATTAATTTGCACACGTAATACATTGGAATTACTATTGTTCTTTTTATGCAAATAGATATTAATGTGAAAGAATTGTTGTGCAAAGATTTAAACAGTTTTATTGTCATTTACTGATTTTCTAATCAGATTTTTGGAATGCAATTTTTACATACCTACTATTTGATGCTCTTAAGAAGCAAAACAAAACTGTGACTCGATAATTAATTCTACCCATACCTTCTAAATTATTTTGTTCAAACTTAATCGCCTATCAGTCAACACTTTTCAATCAACTATAGCAAACATTTTACTATTTTTATCTTATCCGCTGATACGTTTATCTATGAATTAATGTTGCTATTTACACACCTCAAGTGATTCTAACGTTACTTTCCTGTATCTTGCATATTTTGTTATGTCACAATTGCATAAACTCCAGCAGTAGATTAATTCCCAACACTTTGAATCACCAAGTAGTTTTCATACTCCGTTAACCGTTCTTACATATTTCAGTTATTCTTTCAAAATTGCATAAATATCCGTAGTATATTACTTACTAACACTTCAAGTCACCAAGCAGTTTTCATAAATTAACCGACAATTTTCATACTCCCCTATGAAAATAAACCTTCCAATTATTCTCTCAGAATTGCATAAATATTCACAGTCTATTAATGATTAACAACTTAAATCACCAAGCAGTTTTCATCTATTAATTACTAACAATTTCCACGCTCCCCAACTATCCTTCAATTTTTCAATTATTCTTCAACACTCCTGGGCAATCGACGACCCAAATGAAATTTCACACCCGCGTTTCTTCAATGACAAACTTTTATTTTTATTAAAAACAGTTCTAAACATTTGACTTAACGAACAATTGTACAATTTAGTACAGACTTCGACAAGTAACCCACAATTTTTTCAGATTATTTAAAAGCCCAGAACAGTAAAAGAATTAAATTGCCCACTTTGCCTACTCAGGATTAATCCGTTTCAATCCCCGTTACTTCCACTATTTCCACCTGCATCTCCAGAAAGAAAGAACGTACATAGGAAAAGTTCGAAAACGACGTACCAAGTTACGAAATCGTGGCGTGCGCGCTTGACAGTTGGTTATCCACGTGGAATCGGCTGGCAGCAGAATTAGGGGAAATCCCGCGACAGTGTTCGAACGGTGCACGGTCCGCGAGTGTCCGCGTGAAATTGCCGTCTCGCATCTACGTCGCGTGGCTTTATGTACCACCCCACCCAGCGACGAGGCTGCTCGTTGGTGGACCCCTTCGGCCGATCGCGATTACCAGCTGCGCAGGTAGATCTGCTCACCTCGTCCCTGGATTAAACGATTGCATCGATTCAGACACGAGTACAACGCGGAGATCGATAAGGCCAGTCTGCTAAGTTCGATTAAAGTTTACCGAGCGAGACGCGGGGAGTACCGATAAACGACTTCGTTAGTTGTTTGATCACTGTTAAAAGCGACTTCTCACAGGACTATTGTTATCTACGTTCGCCGGATGAATTTTCTCGGTAAATTGTCCCGGGGTGTGTTGTCGGATTTCGTTACGTCCCGGTGGAAAGATCTCAACGACCGGCGTGTGCCAAACAATGGCTTTGGAAAATTCGGACCGGTTTGTCACGATTCGGTGAAGTGGATTTTAGAGTTGAATTCTGGTTTTGGGTGAGTCGAGGATCGATCGAGATCAGTAGTCGGTGAAATATAATATTTCGAAGCGGTTGTAAGTCTTGTTATTGTTATTTGGAAGTAAAAATTTTCGATTTTCTAACTCTTTTTGAAGAGGAAGTTTTATAGAAAAAGTGAAATTGCGGTGATTGAACGGTTGTGAATTTTATTTCAGAAATCGTACGTTTCCAGTAAGTTTTGCTGTTGTCGTTAATGACACGATGCTGTAAATAATGTTTTGTTAATTATTTAGATGCTGGATTTTAGTTGGACTTTGTGTTTGTTCGCCTCATAGTACGCAGTGATTTTTATACTAATTTTCATCTAAAATTCCTCTTTAACGTTTTGCATGATTGTTAAACAGCTCCGACTTGCTTGGTCACTGTTTTTACTTTTGTGACATTGCGAAACACTTTTTGTGATATTTTTGTATCTTTATAATAATGAAACTTTCATTTCTTCCTTGTGGCAGCTTGCAGAATGCAAGGACTCCGATCGATTATTCCGATCACATTGTACGTTCACGTTAATTTCGTTACAATTGACATATCTATTCTCATCGAGCAAAGTGTCGCCAATTTTAAAATTTAAATCATCGATAAGAAACACGTTGTTAATTTAATATTTCGTAGAATTTCACAATGAAACTTTGAAAGCGAAAGCACTCATTGTTAGTATTATATTCGATTGTCGAAATGGCGGGAGGAGATCGGGTGGAAGCAAAAGGAAATAGAGTGCGAACGTTTCTTAATAAGGTCCAACAACGTAACACCATTTCGAAAATCAAAGGCAACAGTAGCGAGGCAAATTGTAACTTGATTTCAAGTTCGAAATCAAGATACCATTCAGTGTGCAGAATCGAATTAACGCTTTCAAAGTCGGCGCAAGGGAACGGTCCGCAGGATGTCTTGTAAAACTCTTTCGGGACGAGACCTATTTAGACAGGTATATTTTGCCGCTACGCGAAATTTATTTATTCGCTCAACCAGTTTCGACTTTCACTGTGACGATTGCAATGTTGCAGACACAATAGCCTGGCCAGTGAAGGAACTACGGTCCCTCGAAATGAAGGTGAAACTTAGTGCAATAAGTAGAAAAAGATAAAAGTAGTATGCCAAATATAAGTCCTTAATTAATATCAGGTTTCGAGCTGTATCGAATTGAAGTTTTCGCCAAAGTCTTGAAGATTATGAACTAAACAATTTAATACATAAGAGCTAATCAGAATAGTTTATTACAAATACATTTTTTTGGTAACTTTCTTTTATTGTTACTTTACTGGATTATTAGACGAGAAAATATCACTGCTCTCTTTCTAACAAAAAAAGGTAAATATTCTATCTAAATTAATCGGAAGGAAAATATAGTTATCCTGAAAAATACTTTTGGAATAAATCAACGCGTATTTTAAGGGACTATCGCGTAACTACAGAATACAGTAGCACGAATTGCGATATATTTCATAAAATTTTATTTCGAATAGTATAAAATAATTCTATTTCCTAATCGTTCAATTTTCATTGATTATCGGTCCAGTATATTCGTTTCTCCGAATGTCTCGTAAAAATCAGGAATTATTTTACCCGGAGAACGTATTCACGTTCAAACGAGGGAAGGATCATTTCAGAAGCACCGGTGATCGAGACTGTGTGAGAAGATCAACAAGTTGTCCGAAGTCGGGGAAACCTGTAGCTTCTGAGCACATTTTAGCTGAGTCGCTGCCTGGTAACAGTCTGTTCCTTCGAATTAGAATAATTACCGTTGTCCTCTAACGTCGGAGTTGATTTGATAATGAAACAGCAGCCGTCTCGAGCTGGTTAAGTTAACTGAAGATTGTGCGCGAACGATGCGGACGGATCCGTGTCTCGTTCGCTCTGCTTTCAGTGTTTCCACTTCTAGGATACCGCAGAACACTGTTCTAGGAGTATCGGGCGGTACACACTCTCTGACTCACTCAGAGAGAAACGGGAAAGGCCGAGATAAAGGTGCACGATTCTGCCATCGTGACGCACGTGACGTTATGAATTGCGTGTCTCAGTTGATACGTGGGATATTCCGAAATTGTTTAACTTGTCGTGCGTAACTAACGTTGAGAAATGAGAAAAGAAAATTGTAGTATTGATTAATGTTAGAGTGACGTTTGATATGTGCATGTGTATTCGGTCATCTCACATGTAAGTTCGTGCTGAAAGACAAAAGTATTTTAACGAACATCCAAGGAAATAAAAAAAAGAAAAATTAGGAAAATAGTTGTGGAACGAGAAGACACGTTTTCTTTTTATTGAGTTTAAGGTTCGCTGGAAATATTGATCTGAAATATAAAATTCGACACGAACTTATGGGATGATCTAACACATATAAAAATTATTTAGTCATTTTTTATGGATACATACTGCTGTTGAGAAATTCTTGATAATTTCAGTTTGGATATTTCGATATACACTGCCGTCCATAAGTATTAGGACACCCAGTATGTTTTTAAGTATTACATGATTTAAGTTACATTTACTTGTCAAGGTTAGTGTGATACATTTGTAAAAATATACATATGTATTTGTTATTCTTTGAGATTCTATGGAAGAATGAATATTTTCTTAATTTTCTAATAACGTCTGCGTGTGAAATAATTGTAATGATAAAGAGGCTTGCTTCACATACAGTATGCAGATTTTAGTGGAAGTCACTGAATTTCACTAGATTTTACTAAATTTCCGTAGGTTTCAAAGGATTTCAATATCTAACTAGTATAGATTTCGTAAGTATGCTTCACGTTCAGTAAGTGTCTTAATTCTTACGAACTAGTTCGTCGTAATTTTTTCACAGTATCAATTGTTGCGGAAAATCGAAGCGAATACCAGTACAGTGTGTTTCATTTGTGCATTTGTAAAATACCAGTTAAAACACGTTTATAAATCTTTCCGCGTCATTAGAAGAACACGGAACCAAACGGCTGTGATATAGATCTACTTTCATACAGAGACCTTGATTGAAACTTACTCAAGTGTATTGCTAATACGTTTTACGAAGGTAACAACTTATCAATAATGCATCGAATGCTAATCGAAAATGAAAACGTGAAATACGGAAAGTGTAATATTACGTACGGAAGTAACAACTGCAAACTCTGCTCTATGTTATGTATTTTTACGAAATTTTTTGACTTTTTAAACGATTTAAACGCAATTACAATTTAGTGATATACATAGATCTTAAGAATTGAATGCCCTTAATTACTTCAATACCGACAAATTTATGATTATTGCAATAGAAATCGTTGAAAAATATTAGCAAGAATTTCTCAATCATTTAATATCCAAACTCTCAGGTACAGGTAATTCAATACCGAGACTAATTAGTCAATAATAACAGTTAATGTAAGTTAAGCAATCTATCTCCGCAAATAATAATATAATACAAGGGACAATGTAATAGTGTAGAAATTTGTGCTCGTTGAAAGCTGATGCGACATTAAATAAATAAAAATTAAAAAAAAAGATATTTCAAATTATAATACTTTTACGCTTGCAGCACAAAACTTGTAACGCAAATTTTATAAAAAATAAAATTACCACGGTGGACAAGTTTGATTGTAATCAATGATTATTGCATGATAGAAATAGCAAATCATCAAATAGCAGAAATAGCTAACATCTCAATAATTTAGTATCCAAATTGTCAGGTATAGATAAGTCAAATGATAATACATCTATCCCCCGATTTACACGGTACTCTATTTACACGATTTCACTTTTACACGGTTTTCAAAATAACGGCTTTTCAGAAATATAAACTGTTAAAAATAAAAGTTTATGCTGCGCACATATTTGTACAGTCATTTTTTAATACCGTTCGTTTGTTAACACTGGCATTAAACCAAAAAATGAACCGAATTTCCCCCTTTTTTGCACACAAAAAGCATTCATATTGTAACGTAAAGTTTGCTGCCGCCGCGGATCGTTCATTGGCGACCGGCTATTTTCGCCTTCGCCGATCGCTCGCTCGAAACTAAACCCTGATCCTGAATATTTTCTGTTTTTCATTTTTATTTTATCTTTATTTTACATTTAAAATAATGAATTTAATTAAATCACTGACTAAATTATGCGCATTTTGTTTTTTCCCCCGATTTACACGGTTTTTCATACAAAAAGCCATGATTTCGATTTACACGGTATTCTGAGGATCATCCGTGTAAATCGGGGGACAGGTGTACTTCTACACAAATTTGATAAAAAAGAATTACGAATAAATTTAATTGTAATCAATGATTATTGCATGATAGAAATCGCGATCCTCTTAGACCCATTCCCCCGACGACGTATTAATTCATTCGATAAAATGATAGCGAGCTTGAATTCTGATCCGACAAGTGGTAGAATAAATGCGTGGAAGAAATGGCTGGATGCTTTCTAAAGAAGTTTTCTGGGTGGTTGAAGTAGAAAAGAGGGTAAAGTGGTCGAGAGATTCTCGTGGAGGGAAAGACAGCAAGGAATCCTTCCTTTTCCAGTTGCCGCCAACTTTTACCCGGTCGAGTTTCTTTCTTCACTTTCGACTCTTCCACCGTTCGCCACCCTTATTCAGACGTCGGAAAGCCAAGAAACGAATGTACTTTTCCGCGGTGCACTGTGCCGTCGTCATGGCTACCATCGTCTTGGATAATCTTCCGCCTCTAAGGACATGTTCACCGTTATATCGGGCCATTTTATTTCTCATTTCGTTCAAATCGTTCTCAACTATAAGTTTAGTTTCGCGAGATGCACGAACAGCGTGATAACTGATGAAACTTTTACCGGACTTCGTATTGATAAGGGAAGTGAGTTACCTATGTAATTTTTAGCGAGGACATTTGTTTTTTTAAATACAATTTAAGGTCTTACAGTTTTTCTATGTTTTACAATAAAGGTTCATTTAACGAATAAGTTGGATTTCAGATTTTCGGGTATTTGGAGCTGGTTTCCGTGCTCTTTTACTCTAATATTGTTTTACAATATTTCAATTAAGTTACCAAACAACTGAACTGAAAAGTGTTGAATAAAATTCTGAAGTTTCGTTGAAATGTGACGAATTTATATTCCCTCGATTATTCACTTGTTTGATAGAAACTGAAAAGTTTGAATTGAATTCACAAAATAGAAGGAAATACGATAAAATACTTGCGTTGCAGCAGATATAACGAAAGAAATAATTAACAGAAATTTTTCTTACTTATTTTTATCTAAGTAAATTCACTTGCATCACCTCTTTCGAGAAATTGTTTCAATCCCTCCTTTAGCTGCATCTTTAGATTCCTTTGGGCAATTCTTCTTACAGCGGAGAAAATGTCATTAACAGAGGGAAGGATTCGAGGGTGGAGGGACAATTTCCTGGTGTCTCATGGTCCAACATTTCCTTTGACTAAAGTTGTTCGTCTATTCTATCCCACAAGAATCTACGGACTCTGAATCAGCAAATTCTGACCCCTTCTAACAGCTTTGATCATTTTAGCGATATTAATATATCATTGTTTGAAATTTCCTAGACATTATTGTGTTTCCCATTGTTGAAAGAATTATGTAACACGTGTTTCGTGAAACAATTGTAATTAGCAAAATTTGTCGTTTATTTGTTACTGTAATATGGTAAATGTAATTACATTTGAATTTAATGGACGTAGAAATATAACAGTAGATCGATAAACAGGATAGTAATAAAAGAAGTCGTTTAAATTGAAGTAAATTAGGAGAATAAGATAAAAATTAATAAATGGATAATGTGAACCAAGTCCAAATTTCTTGGCTGTGAAGCCGAAATAAGGAATACAGTAGAAATATAATTTTCTGTATTTTTGTATAATTGCAAACTAAAAATTATATTAACCTCTTCAGGGACGATTTTCTTTAAGATTAGAAATTATTGATCTAACTTTTTACGTAGTTACATTTATATTCATGTTAAATCGATAGCAATTAAACTACTTTCCTTAGGAGATTTTTGGAGATTTCGGGAGATGGTGTTTTCATACTTTCTCTATCGCAAATATTGGAATTTTCGGAAAATTTAAAGGTACACATACACTACCGGCCAAAAGTTTGGAATCACCAAGCATTGCAATTTACACAAAAATTTCCAGAAAAAAGCCAGCGACTTTGAGAATTTTTTGATATGAGATAAATTGATAAATATAGAATTGAGATAAACTTTTAATATTGATGAAAAGTGGGAGGCGATTCCAAACTTTCGGCCGGTAGTGTATGTATGTGACGGTGTCCCTGAAGAGGTTAAACGTAACAAGCAGTGAAGTTTATTGCAAACTGTGCAACGAAGTACAAAGAAATGGTTAAATTATTTTGCTCGATTCCAAGAAGCCAATATATTAAGTAACTTTTGCTTTCGTTATCATTTTTAGCTATGAAAAATCTACCTTTCGTGATTTCCATTAAACAGGGAGCATTTAGCGTTATACATTCTACCATCGAAATCGTGTTAATATGATTAACAAATATAACCAGGGAAAATGCGACGTGAAAGAAATACCGTATTATTCGCAGCCATTCGTTTCTTTGCTGGCAAGAAGAAAAGCTATCGGCAAATGTAATACATTATGCATGAGTGCGTGATATTCAAGTAAAACGGCCCCGTTTCAGAAAATGAAGCCCCCTTAAGGATCACCATAACCAAGGGTAGCAATCATGAGTGATTTTTTCACGTATTACGGTACACTATAAATATTTACAAAAGCTGCTTCATGTTAATGCTAATTTAACAAAGCTACCAACAGATTTTTACAGATTTTTGTCAAAATTTGTTTAATAAATACTAGTTTCTTTTACTGTAACGTGTTTTCTTTTAGTTTCGTGTATTTATAAATATTTTCGACTCTTTTGTTTTGGAGGAATCTCTGAGACGAAATGAATTTTGTCTGCAAGGTATCTTTTTTCAAAGACGATATCCTTACCTTCGGTTGAAGCATTAAGCAAACGACTGAAGAGCTATTTAAAAAATTGATTTGTATACTTTATGAGTACTTTAATCCTTTCATTACTATTGGCGCCTGTAGGCGTTTTGAAAATCTGTTCTGGAACCACTTGATTCACTTCCACCTTAATTTAATGCTCAATTTTATCCTTTGCGCACTTCCACCTTAGTATAATAAATGAAATTTTCAAAGGATATGGCCAAAAGAACAAATTTTAAAAATTTACCGCCAGTCATCTCCGTTATACGGTAAAATTTGCCGTAGCGAAAGGGTTAATAAGTGAAAACAGGTTTGACGTTGGTATTGATTGTATATAGAGAAAAAGAATCCTGAATGTTGCTGAAAGTTTGGGCGTGATTACTGGAGTAACACCTTAACGAGATATGTAAACTATATTCTGAAGTATCTAAAATCCGTACGGGAATTAAATGGGTTAAGAAATTCAATAATTTAAGATAGAGTCCTACATTGTCACGTTTTTCTTATCAAGGTTCATCAGAACCTCATTTTCGATATGTTTCCAATACGAATATATAGTAGACTAAATTCTGGTTGATTATATCAACATTCGTTACTTGATTTATTGACAATAATATTTGCAATAATTGAGCCACTCAAAAGGCTAAATGATTAACTCCACTTTTTGAAATTCTTCCAATTTTAGTATCAAAGCACATACTTGATGCTTGACTCTTCATAAATAAAAAAGTTTAATAAATAAGGAATAATAAATTTAATCACTTTGCATAATGACAAGTAAATAAAATAACCATTATTCTTCGTCGTTTATTACCGTTACTTATCAGTTTGTAAATATCGTTAGTTTGAAAAATTGCAATAATTCAATGAATTTTTCCTTTAAACTTAGCTCTTTTTCCTAACAGAAATTCAATGCTAATAAAATTATCGACGTGAAATTATCATCAGTCATAATGACAACAAGTTAAGAAGGCATTGAATTTTGTTATCTCCGCGTAACAAATGGCATAACCTAACTCGCCGATGAGAGGAGAAATGTATAAGAATGTTGAAATTAATAGTGTACAAAATTGATTTCAAGCAATTCTAGCTGTCCATCCAACAGGTAATACACCATCTAATTCAAGGAAGATTATCTATTTGATGTTGCACATTGTTCGTGCATAAATTTCATCTTTTTTCAAAGGAACACCGTATTGGAACGGAGAGCAGAGAAAAAAAGTACCCCTCATGTTACTTTTCTTATCACAAATGCACTTCTGCGTTTCACGGATGAACATTTAATGGTACGCTACTTCTTGTCCTTTCAATTGCCTTATTTTTGCCCCCTATTCAACAGCTTATGAAAGCTTTTCTATGGTTCTTAAAACTTCTTTTCATATTCAATCGTGGAAAATACCGTTGTAGCTTATTCAACGAAGAAAATTCGACTGCTGTAAAATGCTTCTGAAGAATTGTCTTGAATAGAGAGAGGCCTTTATATACTTTCGATAATTTCGTTTAATATTTTATATTGGTTTTTAATCGTGAGAGATTAATCAGAGATTTGTAAAATAATTTTGCGATATTTATCGTTAGGATATGGATACGGTGAAGGAATATTTAGGATACATCAATCCTCATTGGATAGCAGTGGTAGTAACAGGAATGTACACTCATCTTCGACAAATTTGCATAATTGGCTTGTGTTTCGAGGAAGACAACGGCCTTCCTTTCGATCCTTCCTATGCGTCCGTCCTTTTCACATTTTCGGCTCTGTGCCTCCTAGCGGAATATAAACTTTGGCCTAGAACGCTCAAAGATCCACCGATTCAACTTCTTTATATTTACGAAGTAAACAGAGTTATTTAACATTTTTTTAATCAATACAATATATAGTGCAGCGACAAAGTCACGGAATATTATGGTACATAATTATATTACCGATAAATGCGTTATTTTAATTATTACAGTATGAGATGAAATAATAGAAGGAAATCGTAATATTCACTATTTTTAATGTTTGCACAGATGTTAGTTGCAGCATTGATCACCAATTTAGTCACACGAGCCGTTTGGGTGCCACTTATGCATGTCATTTATTGTTTAACTCAAGAATCCAGTAAATGTGTGAGTTTACTAACACAAATGTTAATTTCTTTCTTTCAACGCAGTTTACATTCTCTCTAATTTTCTAGGTATTTTATAATTCACAAAAGTAGGCAAGATCTCAAATATTTACCTTATCCACACAATTAACCCTTTGACAGTCTAATATAATTACGAATTAGAGTGAATAAAATTCATATTCTGCACGTATCTTTTTAATAATTACATCCTGTGTGATTATTTTTAAACGCTACGTCACAGTTCTGATAATAATATCTCGTCCCTTTCTAACTTTCTTCCTAAAAGTCTCTCATGAGTTAAACTGTTTCTTATTTAACGTACTGCCTGATTCTCACTCGGGATAAACTGATTAATTATTCAGATGCTTACGTATTTTACACATCTCTACTGTAAAACTGAATTGCATTTATTTTCAGTTATTATGGCTAAATACGGTATTAGGTCAGAGTCGTTATTCGCTTTTGAACGAGTTCGCATACTACATGGCTAAAGACTGTGCCGCGACACATATGGCCTTTTGCATGTCGGTTTTGTCATTCGTTTGGATGCTGGACGCCACCGAGTCTTTGGACGCGATTTTAGACACTTGGGCCAAGTAGTGAACCAGTAATGTTTAGTTTTATAAGATACTTGGATTGTAGAGTGACTTAATCATGAAACATGTAAAAAGCACTTTTGCTTAATTGTCAACATAATTAGTTGGCATTGGTTAATTTATTTAACGTACTTATTGTTTTTCTTCTTTTAGGTAAACTTAATCTTGCGTTAGTTTGGTGAACTTTTTCTTAATATTAGTTTGATAGGGATTTTAAATTCTTTGCTTTTAAAGTTACGTAAATAATAGTGTAAACAAAAATGATAAAAGAATATAGAAAATTACTGGACTAACCCAGGATTAATACACTCTTCTATCCATAAATTGGACATTGCAATTGAGTCATTTGGCGAGTAGACCGATGAGTTCGCGAATAATTTCTTATTGGAAATTTGATTAGTTACGAAACGCAATGTAAGAAAATTGAAACATGAAGTATTAGGTGTATATAGAAATGAATTCTTTTCGACTGATGGATGAGAAGATCACCAACAATAATAGAAATTATTTCGATTTTTGATCTGTTTTCATTCTTTTTAAGTAAAACCTTGATTGTACCCAAAAGTTGGAAAGACCTAATATATTTAGACCCAAGGAATATTGCATATTGCGTACTGTGAAAGTATTCAACCTCAGCACAGGTACCAAATAATTTCTCGAATTGCGACAACATAAAGAATCCTTAACACTGTACGTCGTTCAAAATGAGAGTAACCTCGCTCTGGACCGATTCTCGTCCGTTCTGCGCATAGACAGAGAGCGTAGCAGAGGGTAAGACGGAGAAAAACGTAGGTGGTTCAGTGGGGGTTTGGACGTTCTAGTGGTTCTAGCTCTGCCTTAGGCACGTCCCATGCGCGAAACGAGGTTACTCTCATCTTGAACAGAGTATACGTGAAAAATTGAATCGAGCATGTGGAATAAAATATTTTCATAAGAAGCTTTGTTTTCGAGAAAAATAAGTTTGAAAATTTGTCAAGTACGCGTGTACTTGATCCAGTTTCAGCTCGACGGATAAAAATAAGAACCGATGCAAGAGATATCATCTTATTGACAATGTTTGTAAACATATCAAGAAGGATAGGAATGCTCTCCGAAATATCCGAGAGTAAGATAGTGAAATCCGTCGAGCTGAAACTAGATTTTCAAACTTATTTTTCTCGAAAACGAAGCTTCTTATGAAAAAATTTTATTCTACATTCTCGATTCAGTTTTTCACGTAAAATCACCCCCTGCTCGCTTGTACCACCAGTTATGGGACACCCTATATATGTGTATATAAAATTTGTTAATACATAGGGAAGGAAGTAACGGTCTCTGGTCTCTCTGTAAATGCAAGAGAAAGAAAATCAGTTTTGCAAATCCTGAAGTGACAGATTGGTTCGTGTATAAATTCATGTGCAGTGCAGATCCTCAGAATGAGAACAAACAGTCGGAGATGTAATTCAACGCAGATTGTCATTTTGCATATGTGTATTGTTTGTGAATTTTTACACCTATGTATATGTATATTTTTAATAAAGTTCCTTTTCTCTGATACTTCAAGTTCCACAATATTAGGTCCACATTAGACTAGCCTAATTTGCCTGTTAGGCCCCAATGGGGCAGTGCCATTAGGTCCGCATGCGGTATGTAACGCGGAATATTCGCGACTACCTAATTCGGAAAGCCGCGTTAGGGCCGCATTAGGCATTCCCAATGAGGCCAACCGCATTAGGTCCATATTAGAATAGCTTTATTAGGCTGTCATTGGGAGACATTAATGAAATCTCACGAAAGCTCTCACGCAACCGTACGTCCGACACTGAGATGTCTGTAAATATTCTTACATATAAGTTTGAGAGCCCCACTCCACCTAATTTAGGTGTGCGCTCGGCCACCCCCATTTGGGCCACGTATGGCAACTGTTAGCAATGCCCAATCTAAGTGTGCGCTCGGGCACCCCCATTTGGGCCACATATGGTACCTGTTAGGAATGCCCAATCTAAGCGTGCGCTCGGCCACCCCCATTTGGGCCACGTATGGCAACTGTTAGGAATGCCCAATCTAAGTGTGCGCTCGGCCACCCCAATTTTGGCCACGTATGGCACCTGTTAGGAATGCCCAATCTAAGCGTGCGCTCGGCCACCCCCATTTGGGCCACGTATGGCAACTGTTAGGAATGCCCAACTTTAGGCATGCATCATTCCTTCCGAATTAGGACTTAATGCGGTAACGATTAAGCTTGCAGCATTTAGGTGTGCCTAATCGTTTCCGTATTACATTTGTAATTAAAAGAAGTATTAATTACTCTATTTTATCGATTCAAAATAACAATCTCGAATTAACCATTTCACTTTTCGATTATCGAAGAGCAACAATCGAAATGTCGGAAGTCCATTCGAGATATGCCATAGTTTAATCTGTCAAAATACTTTCTCAACGAGTTCTTTTTAACTATTCAACGAAAATATCGATGTTGAAGGGAAAAAGCAGAGAAAATGACACAATTGGTTCACACAATTTGGGCATTTTTGTTAAACGTTTTCGGATTTCCGATTTTTCGAACGTGTTTCGCTAACGCCATGGAAGACGAAGAGTGTGAAACACTGCTTTTGGGACCACCGTTTAGTTCAGTTTTCTTCAGCACTGGGGTATACATGATTATTCTAAATTCTACACTTTTTCCACGGTCTTTCAACGAGCCAAAAATGATTTTCCTGATGTTATACGAGGTTAGCGTGAACAGATCTTTCTATCGCTTGTCTTTCAATCCAAATTTTGCGTGATATTATCTATTTGCTCGTCGATTTTCAGTTTCTAGCCACGGCATTTCTCTTGGAATTCGCGATGGCTTGCGTTTGGACACCGATTGATGTGCTCTTATCAACCACATTGCCAACTAACATTTACCACGTAATATAACTATTTGATACTCTCTGCGTAACATTAAAGAGACATTAATCTATTTTCTTTGAAAAAAGAGCAGACGCTTCGACAGCTTGGGATGGAGGATGCAACGGTCTCATTTCTGACAAATAAGTCTTTGACGATGGTTCTAACTTACACTGTGGCAATCACCTTCTTTTTACTAACGCTTCATGTCACCGATTCTGTAGATTACACGATTTTCAGGTATATCTTGCATGTAGATATAATTACAGGGAAACTGAAATCGACGAAATTATTTTGTTTCCTAATTAATCTTTTGACTTGATCTTTTACTTGATTCATTAAAAAAAAAACAAATGAAATGAAATGAAGTTGGTGGACATCAAGTTTGAGCTTCATCAAGCTTTCTACCATAGTTATTTCATTATTTGCATCAATTGCCCAAATTTATGAATTACTCAAAGTCACCTGATGGTCATAGTACTGTAGGTCGTTGGATTCATCTTGACCTCAGTAAAATGTGTAGTCTCGTTTAAAAGAACTTGGATGACCTCAAAATTTTGAAAGGAATGATCTTGAGAAAAATTTTGTGTCTATCATAATAAATGTTTGCCCCTTCGAACCGAATACTGTTTTCTTTTCACATTTTTTCCTAAAATAAAAAATAAGGGAGATATTTAAGATGCTTAAGTTAGTTAGTACACCCTGCATATTGTTTTTTTTTTTTTTGTAACTATGCAGTACATAACGATATTTTTCGTTAATTTATTTCTTTTGATATGAACGAAATTGTATTTCGTGAAATATCTGTTAAAACTATCTAGAAAGTAAAAAGTATGAACGCGTTTTCATCTTCTCCGTAGAGATTTTGGAGCAACGCCTTTCATGTCACACGTACAAGAAAAACTGTGGTGCAGACTACAACAAGAATTTCCGTTCTTGAACGAAGAAACTAAAGCTTGTCATTGTAAAATTCGTCGAAGAAGACGTAGTAAAAGTCACTTGAACAACAGCAGATAGTTCTAAACGTTAATACCTCGACGTAAATTTACGTCAATAGAGGAAAATGAAAGGAGCAACATGTTTGTTAGAATTAGAAGTTACCGCAAGTTGTAAATTGATCATTCACGTATGTATAGAGATATAATAGAAATATTTACGTAATTTTAACCAGTTCTTAACACGTCTCCAGTGTTTATTTCATCCTTTCACTTACTTCAACGTCATACTAATTTTTCATATTCGTTTTCTCGAAATTACTGATGACGCACGTGATCTCACTGTTCGTACTTTCCTTCACCAGCTAAATATGTTTCATTTATTTCCTTGTAAGTTTAGAAATTCTATTTGTATCGACGTTCATCCTCTATTACTACGATTCTTCTCATTCGCTGTAATATTATAACAGCATTGCTCGAAGTTGATAAATGTATTGCTGTTGTAAAATAAAGCCAAACATTGCTAAACATTTTCATTGCTGAACATTTTTAACATTAACCCTCGAATAGCAGATGGCGCGATAGTCGCGCTCATGGCGGATGACGGGTCAAATATGACCCAATGCTAAGTCCTTTTCGTACGCAAGCGAAACCGCATTTTTCAATTTTACATTATACGAGCCGTTTTAATGCGAAAGTGGTGTAAGTCGAAAAAGTTGATTTCTGGATAGCGAGGTGTAAAGTAAAAGTTCTGTAAAATTCAATAATATGAAAGAATGTTGCATCTCTTTTACGTAAGCCACTGTACAGCCATCGCATTAAACGGCGCATATTGTTTAAAATTATACAAATGTATTATGATTTAAATAAGAAATATATCGATAATGTAAGCAGAGGAGAGTCGTGACTCTCGTTCGAATGCTGGTTGAAACAAGAGATATCAAAATGCCGGGTCATCCGCCATCCGAAGGTTAAAGAAATCTTTTCTGATACTTTTATTATCTATTATAAAAGATTATTTCACTGTGATACTTTTTCTTAAGGTTTACCGTAACTATTATGCCATCCTGAATGTTCCCGCGGTTTTGAGACGTCCATTTTGAAAATATTAATTTTTTTAGATTCGAATTTTTATATACGCGGAATCAATGCTCTTGTAATGCTCCATTGGCAAAAGTGTATCGAACATTATGGAAATTATTTGAAACAAAAATATTTAATTTCTACGGAATTACGTTTCTTCAAAATGAACGTCTTTCAGGCTGACCCAATACAGTGGTGCACACAGTAATGCACATTCGGTCCCGACTGCGGACGCTTAAGTGGGGAGGTGACTTCTGCGAATTTAACTAAACAAAAGAGTGGAGATGTGCCTGAGTGGGATACCGGTATATCAGGTGTCAGTTGTTCACATTCGATATCGAATTACTTTGTTTCACTCGGCACGCTCGAACTCCACTCCGAAGTCCCGTTTCCAAGAATTGGTGGGGACAGCGACGGACGCTTAAGTGTGCAAAAATGCGGACGCTTATGTGTGTACTACTGTATATGTAATTCTTATATCTCACCTAAAATTCATTCATTGTAACTTATCAAAGAAAAGCTTCAATTGAAGACAAATTGGAGAAAGATGAGATTTCACTGAAAACACGACGGTTTAGTTTATTTTTATGAAAAAGAAGGCATTTATTTCGTTCGAACTGAAATGCAAAGTACAAATGGTATAGATAATATAGTGGCAATAATGTAATAATTAATCGTTAATAAATATCAATTCAATTAATAATACGGTGTGTACCAGTATACTGCGGAGTATTATATAATACGGTAATTGTACTACACGGGATGTGTTCAGTGGCAGCGTTACAATCATTTTGTCATCGAAGTGTATATGTTACAGTGATTTTTTTTTCCATTCTCGCTGACCGACGGCGAATAGGTCGGCTCCTCGATTGTGCTTTCACATTTTCCTCGATTAACATTTCTCCTCTCGTTTCTCACGCCACACTGATTCTTCGTTTCTTTAAACTATCGATTCTTTTTTTCTTTTTTTTTTCGAAAGGAGGCGGGGCAGCGCTGACCAAGACAATACGAAAAAAATTATTGCTCGGTGTCCAGAAATATTTACAGTCAAATGCAATACAGTGGCAATATTCATTTCTCAATCGATCTAAACGTCCATAGACAATCGTTCACAATTAAATTTACAAAACACAAGGAAAATTTAATTTTAGCCAATTCAATTATTTCGAAGAAAATGACCATGTATCTGTATATCTTATTTTAAAATCGAAATTTACAATTTGCAGTAGAAACTAAATAATGTTAATATTCGAGCACTTTAACTAGAATCATTTTCAAAATAATTCTGATATCGATAGATACCTTGAAAAAGAGAATAGAGCCGCTATGAAAAATATTGGTGTCATTTTAAAATTAAATTAAACTAAATTTCAAGCAATTCAGAGTGTGAAAGTGATCAATACTACTTCTCAAAGTGATCGTGAATCACAATATCCGAAGAAAGAGAATAGAGCCGCTGTTAAAAATTATTGCCTCGATTTCCTCAAGCAACAAATTTTGAGCAATTTCAGGTTTTCTCAAGCGTGAAAGAAAATTGTGCCCCGCGATTGTCAACGTATCGTTCAACTGAAATATTTCCATCGACCGAGGCAACGTTTCGTTTTTCGATGTACAGTGTCTCGCTCGCTCGTCATCGCAAATACAAAGTGTGTGTGTGTGTTCGTTGAAAAGCGTTTGGATGGCGACAAACGAACAAAGAGAGAGAGTTAGAAAGAATTGCGAGCTCGCGAGAAAGAAGTTCTGTCGTTGCTGTTCGTTTAAGCGCCACTATAGTGCCGTTTGTAAAATGAACAATCGCTTCGTTTGGGAGATCGTAATTGGATCAAGGCACGAGCTGCCTCCTCTCTTTGTGCACGATTAGGCAGTGCTTGGAAAATGTTGTACAGATATGTAGGATGAGCTATCGCGTGGCTTACCATTCTTCTCGTTTTACCGCACTCCTCGTTTTACCGCACTCCTCGTTTCTTTATTTTCCTACTTTCTCTTTTTCTCTTTTCCTTACTACAGATTACTCGCCTCTGACCGGAACACTCAATCGGAGAACTCGATCTTCACCGTTTCCCGATCTCGACGTTGAGATCTTTCCCTCGAGGATAAGTACGCTTCGCTTTTTTCGTTTTTTTTTTGTTTTTTTTTAAATCTTTTGTCGTTTGTTCTAGACGCTTTTTGTTTTTGTTTTCTCTCTCGATATTGTTTACTCGCGTGCCAGCTCGTTCTTGGTAAAAAAGTTGAGCCGTGTGTGTGGTTCGAAAAGTACCTTAACTTAATATCGATCGCTCGACGATGATTGTTGGTTCGTTAAAGCAATTTGACGGCTGTTATTAATGTTCATCGTTTTCGGGAGATACGTGTGGATTTGTTTTTTTTTTTTGCTTCTTCTTCTGTATATGGTATATACAAACGATATTTGCTAAAAAATGAAAAAAGAAAGTAATCGATCCTGGGGACGCTAGTTGTCTAAGATTTAGACGATAGGTCAGCGGTCGTCTTTCCAGGAGTTAGCCTCTTTCTTTCTTTTTTGTACAAAACACGCAGATTCGATGAAATTAAATTCGTCTCGCTTGATAAATTATCGTCTATTATGGTGCATATATTACGTACACAGATGCATTTGTCAAGGTTCAAATATAAATGTTCACAGGTGTTGCACGGTAATTATTACATACATAAAGGAAAGTTAAATATTCACATATTATTCTACAAAATTTACAGATTCCGCTTTTTTCTATAGACTCACACTTACTCGACATTCGCGACACACTCCGAACACTTACAACGTATTCAGAAATCGGTGATTTCTATTGTTACAAATGAGGGACACGTTGTTTAACCGCAATTAATAAATCACTCATATGTCAAATAGAATGTAATGAGAATTCACTGTTGTCCATTTCGAACGTGACATTCGATCCTTATTATAAAATATTACGAAATAACGACTAAAATGGAAGCTCCTCGAGCTTTCGGTTCTTAGAAATGAGAGATTCTGTTCGACCAATCGCGAGAACGATTTTAACGAAACGAGAACAAAGAACGTTTTCGATAACGATCTTTACCTCCTGCATCCTTTCTTCTTTATTACGCACGATCTTTCGTTAACGTCTTTTCTATTTCATTTCAGTTTGAAAGTAACTACGCTTCATCAGTGGCAAATGAAACTTCAACGCATACTTTTCTCGAGTAAATTTTGCGTTCGATCGTTAGAGGGCCTTTAACTGTTTAGATATTTTCTTCACACCTTACGAGCTGCCCTCGTTCGAAAATTCATTTAGAAATATATTCCGAAGGATACGTGACAAAGAAGAATGTCGTATATTGACTGAAAATCCGGCCCCATAGTAAGTAGCTTATCCCTACTTGTCGATTATATGTATACGCATGTATATGAGATACTTTTTGTACAATCAATGGGAATTTATTAGCGATTAATTTGTATACAAATTCTCTTTCATCTCGTAATACGAAAATCGATTGGAAACTTTACACGAGAATGAAAACACTGCATTCTGCGTGACTGTGTTTGCGGATTGCGGTTCGTAATGGTATTGTGTTGCACACTGTTTCGGTATCATGCAAGATTTTAGAGGTGCCTAGGTCGAGCGAATGGAGAGATGTTTTTCTTCATGTTGTTGAATTGCGCTGCTGAACGTTTGGCGCATTATAAAAGAGAAATCTCGGAAGTTGACTTCACACGCTAACACTTAGAATATTTTTAATATCTTCACGACGAGGTATTTTTGTTTCTTTCAACGAAGAATAACGAAGAATATTCTTTTTAGCTTTACAATCATGCTTCTACTGTCTGACGCTGATAAACAAACGTGTACAGTGCCTATTCCACAAAATTTGTTTTGTAATTCCTCGAAGGTGACAGATTTTTTTAATCTTCTTGTATCATCGTGTTACTCCAACGACGTTTAACTCGATTTTTTCTCAGTAATAACTAAACCTTTGAGATTTAACTCACTTAAAAATTTCATGGAAAATACGCATTCGACACTTAAAGTATAATTATACGTGCCAGTAAATTTTTAGTTCAACGAAGTAAGTTAAAGTGAGACGAAATAATTTTGGAGGATGTATTAGTTTCTTCGCGGCGAAGCCAATTTCCAAGAAATCGAGTCATTTCAATTTGGTGATTCGCTGCCGTAAACAATCGCGCGACAACCGTTTCTTGCCACTGTACACACACGTGCACGCTCTTTTGCGCGCTACTCAACTCATTATCAGTTACTCAACGATAAACTGTTCGTCCTCCTACAACGCCAATCCGTCGAATACTGTCTCTTCTTAGAAACTACTTGGCGGGGGTGAAATCGACGATAGGAATGGTCGGAGAAACGAAATGGTGTGCTACGAAGGAGGACGGTGATACAATAAAACGACGATAATTCAATAATACGAACCTGTCAACATCGAGAAACTTAAAATGTACAGCTTCAAGTAAAACCGAAGATGCTTTCAATTCGAATAAAAACGATAGGAATGGTCGGAGAAACGAAATGGTGTGCTACGAAGGAGGACGGTGATACAATAAAACGACGATAATTCAATAATACGAACCTGTCAATATCGAGAAACTTAAAATGTACAGCTTCAAGTAAAACCGAAGATGCTTTCAATTCGAATAAAAGTTTGATAAATGTAATTGCGAACGAAATTATAAACGAAAATGGTTCACATTTCAGACGAAAGTATGGAAATCTTTCGAAGCGTCTACTTAATCGTGGTATTCGTTAAAATTGTGAAAAAGGATCCATTAGAAATATTCAGAAGTTGAAAATAACGCAATTACTAGAATAAAACATTAGCAACATGTTTCATGGACTTTGAAAATTCAGAAATCTTTATTACCAGAAAAATAGTAAAATTATTATAGTATCGAAAAAAATAAATTATTAGGAATAATATCCAATTGTGCTTATTACTCGCAAACTTAAGCATAACTGCTATAAAGACTGAATGTGTAAGATAAGAATGGTTCACTGTTGTAAATTGTTAAAACGAATTCAGGCAGAAATATCTATTTCGAAGTATCTGCTTAACTTAATCACTCGTTAAAATTGTGCAGTGGCTAGATTAAAAAATTAGCAATAAGCTTCGTAGACATTGAAAATTCCGAAATTTTCGTTACCAGAAAGATAGTACAATTATTGTACAACAGTATCGAAAAAGAAATAAATTATTCGCGATAATATCTAATCGTGTCCTATCACTTGCAAAATTAAGGAACAACCGAAGATCGAACGTGTGAAATAAAAGCTTGATAATGTTTCTCGATGTTCGTATGGCTCGCGAGGAACAGACGCAAACGGGCGCGGAAAACGTAATATCACAAATATCGTCGGGAAACGATACGCAAGACGACGAATCTTGGTAGGACAATTATACAGAGATGCTCGGTACCGATCGCGGTGCATTACGAGCGGCACCGGCATACCGAAATACACGACGTTACTTACAATATTCGTACAAGTGCTTAACACTACGCCCGGGCCGTTCGATCCGACGGGGCTTCGCCTAACCGATAAATTGACTATTAATATTTCCGTAGAGAATTTTACAAATCAGTCGAGACACACGCATGGAGATGCACTGAGGTGACGCTATTCTTTATCGTCGCCGGGCACTAAGCGAGATTTCGTTTACCAAAGAGTAGAACCGGTGGTCGGAATTCGTTCGAACGCCTTAACGCTTGACCGGGCGTTCAAGTCACTCGTAGTAACGAACTCATCGCGCGCGTGCACAGCGCTCGATGAAAATTGATTTTCTGGCGTCGTTTCTTTATTTCGCACGCTCGCCGATTTTTACTTCTCCTCTCTCCCTTCTCCACTCATCTCTATCCACTCTTTTTCTCTCATTTTTCCATCGTTTTTTTCCTTTTTTTTTCTTTTAAACTTTTTCATTCCATCAGAGCGGAACTTGCTGGCCGGGGTTCGACCATCGACAGAAAATAAATATTAAATACTACGTCGAGACATGAATCGTGAGCTTTTCTCGACAATCGGCCCTCGGTATCTCGCGCTTATATACGATTCTCTTCTCTCTTTTTCTGCTTCTTTTTTCTTTCTTTCTTTTTTTTTTTTTTACTTTTTAATCTTCTCTTTACGTGTCTTCTTCGTTTGTGTGTGATTCTTTCATTTATATATAATATATATATTCAGTTTTTTTTTATTTATCGTAATGTCAATAATAATACTATTAATAACTAATGAGGATGCTGGTGACGGTGACGATGACAACAATGAGGATGGTTCACGATTCGAGAACAATAACTAAACCTGTTTCTCTTTTGCTCACTTAAATAATCCTATTTAGTACGATAGACCACGTTAGGATCGTCCGCATCGCGCGAACCAGGAAGGCGCCACGAATGTGCCGTTTTCTCACGATACTTTTCTCTTACATTCAACAACGTCAACGTACGAGTTCGTGGTGCATTACTTCGTAGGGGAGGGGAGGGGAGGGGGTAATCGCCGATACGCGTTCACGGGTAGAAAACGGAAATATCGCGCCGATTGTAATTCTTTCTCACCGTTACGGATATCAGTGCCGAATGGAAAAAATCGGTGGGGTTTAAAATGCGGATAAATGGGAAATGCCCTTAAAGTACGACATACGATCGATCGGTGATCGATGTGTGTGTTCGTGTGTGTGTGTGTTTGTGTATGACGTAAAACGAGAAATAAGGATCACGCGCATGACTGTAGTAACGTGTTTCATGAATATTAAACTCCGGTAGAACCGATGCTGTTCGCGCCGGCAGTGATTAACCGATCGAATACCGAGACATCAATGTTGGTGGTATCGATAAATAGTAACTATGACTGTGACTAAAAATAATGAATCATATATATATAAAATATAGATTTATTTTAATAATAGAAAAGTCTCACGTGCAAGCAGACACGCGCGAATTCACTACGTATACGCGTAACGTGCTATACAGATAGGTATGCACCCTTCGAGGGTTAGGCATCACCTACGGTGGTGCCGTAAGGACTGGCCGTGGCTCGACAAACATTCTTATTGCAACAACATTCGTTTTTGTCACGAGGGAGTGAATAGAAAGCTCTTTTTTTTTCGTGAGATCACACCATCGACGAGCGGCTGTGTTTGTTTTGTTTCTCTCTCTCTCTCTCTCTCGTAAATATCGGCCAGAGGATGCTTCTTTCTCTCTCTCTCTTTCTCTCATAATCACGCATACAGCACGAACACCCTCGTCTCTTTTGCTCCGCGTGTGCGCGCATCGTGGAAAATATGGCGTCACCGCGTTGGAAACATAGACGTGCCCGATAAACGAAACGGAACGTTTCTTTTCTTTTCTTTCATTTTTTGTTTTGCTCGAATAACGTAAAAACACCACTCCGGTTTGGTTTCTTCGTCGATTTCATCTCCGTGGTGCTTCTCATTTCTTCGTTCTCACCGTGGAAAGTTCGTTCGAATACACACGTTCTCCATGGAGGACAGTCTCTCTCTCTCTCTACGGTTTTACCTCTTTCTCACATTTGAGCTCACGTGAACACTATTCTTCCGGAGGTGTATACATCATGTGAGCGTACGGGTCTCAGAGATTCTTCGTGGTGTCTTTAGTCCTCCTCTTCGCTTTCCTCTGCCGGCCCGTACATGTCGGCTAGCTTGTCGAATCTTGGACCCCAGGCGCCTAAGTACTCATACTCGTGCTGCTCGTCGTCCGTTCCTGTTAATTTGAAAATAACTATTGGTGTATTTTTATTTTTAAAGAATGTCGATGAAATTTGAGTATTCGTTAATTATCTGAAATAGTATACTGTGAGATTATTAACACGTTCGCTACCACGGTTCTGTTCAAGCATCGTCCTCTATCCTTCGAATTATTTTCACTTACACTCTTTATATCTATATTTTTTTCAGTTTTACATAATACGATTTGTGCCTGTACTTTTATACACACCTGATATTTATTAAATACTCAAACTGTACATTTTTTATGATGTGTTACAAATAGATAATACCGTCCTATAGCGAACGTGTTAAGATGTATTAACAATTCAATATTTTATTAACGAGTGGCATTCGAACTGCAATAATCTACACTATTTCTTGGTTATACTGTTAAAATGTAGTTTGAAAATTTATTTGTTTTAACCAGGCAGTAGATTCCCATCCCAGAAAAATCTTATCGTTCTCTATTGTTCCTTTAGCAATACTGTCGACACAGAGATGTGAATACTTATGTTTCAGATGTTCATGTGTGCACTACCGGGTTAAGTATTATCATGGAGTAAGTTTAACTTCGAAGAAATATCGAACGAAAAGATAAGTACGTACCGGAAGCTAACGATGACAATGACCCTGCGATACTTCCGCCACCCTCGTATGCGTAATTTCGTAAGTCATCGAACGGTGGTGCATTTGGATCACTATCAGCCCTCTTTTTGTGATCTTCTATAAAGATGCCCACGTTTGGTTCTGGTCCTAGTGAATCTGGAAAATATTACAAATATTGCGGATAAATAACCTTATTAAAAATATTGAAAAATTGAATATTAAAAGTAACCTTAAGTTTATTTTAACCCTTTCGTTGCCGCGGATTTTAATACGTAATGCGCGTGGCAGACAATCAAGGCCTCAAAATCTTTCGTTTTAGCGTTTCAAAATTTTTAAGAACGTTTTAGAAATTTTTAGATAAAAATTTATCATTTCAAAATTTATTCCGTCAAATTAAAGTAGATATGCGTAGAGGACAAAAATTAAGGATTGAAAAGGGCACAGTGCGAGCAAATTTTCAAAGCTCCTGGAGGCGCCAATAGCAATGAAAGTGTTAAGTAGCAACGCACAAATAATTACTATACCAAAAGTAAAATAATAATTACTTACAGGGTACTTTACATGGCGGCAACTTTCCACCCATTTCCGGTATCGGGCCGCTAATAGGAATTTGAAGTGGGGTAATATCGAATGCGGTCATATCATCTTCTCCGCCACCCTCGTCATCGTAGTTGATGATATTTTCTCTGACATCATCGTCAGGGCCAGGATACTTAATATGGGATTCTCTTCTTCTATTATACACAACAAATACTAGAACAAGAACTGCAACAGAAAACATTATTTTCATTATATCCATTTCCAAATTCTTTTCAAAGTTTATCCAATTGTTTTGAACAATCACGCAAACAAATTTAATCGAACAAAATTTTCTTCTTCTCAAATATATAAATTTCTCTTTTTATTCTTGCTCGTCCAAACAGTTTAATTTACAGGATTACTCACCAAGAATAATCAGAAGGCAGACCAAAATAGCTGCCAGGGCTCCCATACTAAGTTTCAGCGTTTGTCCCTCTTGTACAAGTTCGCAGTTCTCTCCCCAGAAACCACCAGGACAAATACATCTGTACCGGAAACGAGGATCTTGATTGATGCATCTGCCACCGTTCAAGCATGGATAATCTATGCACTCGTTTTTATCCATGCATCCATTGTTATCGGGCGATCGAATTCTTCCTTCTCCACACCTAGGCGAACAAACGAAACAATATTTATACCATCGTGTTTCCACACAATAAGTACGCTATGTTTTGTTTTTTTTCGAGGATTTGCGAGGTACTTACGTGCACTCGAATGCGTTCCAAAGATCGATACATTCGAAAGGCTCTGAACAAATGACGTCGGCGCAAGGTTTATTCGACGGGCAATTCCTTTCCAAATTTCTGGCCATGGTTGCCTGACCCCATTGCGTTCCATTCATAGCAGGCGGTAATGGAAGATGCTTGCCCTCTAATCTTATGTCATCGAGACATCCTGTTGGAACATGTGCAAAATATTACATTGCCTCTTACTTGTTCCCTCTTCTAAATTCGATTTGTATACTAATAATACTTTAAGCGCCGGACCCGCTTTAACATTTATGTCCATAGCCAGAATTCTCGTCTACTTTGTCGTTCAATTTTAGTAGCTTTTGATAAGAAAATTTTAAACTTGAAGTAAACACGAATAGGGAATGTGCCAAATAACAGCGATCTGACCGAATATTGAAATCTTCCATTGCAAACTCTAAAGGGCTCAGTTTATACTCGCGAGACCGCGAATAACGCGTATCGGGAGGTATTGAAATCGTAGCGATTTTTGATTAAGAACAATACGAACGAAACGCATAGAAAATGTACCTCTCTGATAATCTGCGTACACCTCAAATGTCCTAACACCAGTGTATTCAGCCTTGCCACCCGCGAACACTCCTTCTTGTTTGTCAACCAACAGCCATTGGGGTCCCTCGAAAGAGAAGGTCTCGTTGAATCTCCTTCCTTCACCGCCGTCTAATTCCAAAGTCGCAGCTGATCCGTATCTCGACACTCGAACCGTGTGCCATTGTCCATCGTCGACCGCTATTGCAGTGAGCCAAATGTCGCGTTCTTCGGTCCTCAAGTTATTCAAGTTGTAGCGGAAATGCAGTCTGCTGTCCTTGATCTGGAAAATATAGAACGCGTTGTTCGTAAGAAACTAGATATTTTTTTGTACCGGATAATATGTAATACTTGGGTTTCTATAAGATACTTGGATCAAGTATGCTTATTAACACTTTGACTGCCACGTTGGTCATCTGTGACTGGAGGGCCTCAAATGTTTAGAATAATTCAAATAAAACGAATATCGTCAATTAAAAATTTCGAACGTCATAGCTAATTAGACGTTATTTTGAATTAAAAAAAAAAAAAGAAATAATAAAGAATAGTATAAAACTATGCTTAGAATAATGAAAATTTTCTTGTAGCACCCTGAGCAAAGTGTGTAAATCTGACATGACAGTGAACGTGTCAATAACAGAGTTCCTGATTTTCTCTAATTCACTTTTCACTCTTCAAAATATTAAAAAATATTAAAATCAAAAATATGACAACACTATACGCACCTCTAAGATCGCGTACTCCCTGTTATGCTGGTCGCTAACTCTGAACAGTTCACCGTGGACCTCTCGTGTGCGGAATCTCAGTTGTACCTGAGTAGAATATTTATCTGGCTCGAAGGATAATGCGTATTTGACGTAACTGTGCTCTTTGAACGAGGTTGGTATAGTGGGCGTCATGCATCCTGGGCCAGTCCATCCTGGATTACATTGACATCTGGCTTCTGTGAAGCTTCCTACGCAAGTACCATGTTCCCAGCATCTTAACGTGGATTCCTGATTGTTGCAAGTTTCTTCGGTCTGAGGACAACCAGCCACGCTATTCCTCGACAGGCCAGGATGAGCTAGGTCGTAAAGCTTGCTGTTGTGGAAAAGGTTCTTGATACAACCGTCGAAACCTTTGCCAACTGGCATATGCTTCCATTTATAGTGCGTCGGGTCGAATTGCTCGACGTATAAACCACCGATTTGAAGCGGCGCGTTCACGTTTAGGTATTCGTTGAAAGGTGGTATCATGCCTTGTGCTTGGCAGCTGGTGTCGTTGAACTGTGGCGGTGTGCCGTCTTCCGGTTCCGAGACGTTCGCGGACTTGCAGTAGTCGATGATCAGTTTCACGGACTGTAGAGATTAGTTTTGTCTAGATTAGTTTCACGATGGTTTAATCGAAGAGTAATTCCTTCGATTCCTTGAAATACGAATGAATTAAAACGAATCGAAGTATTTCTGTAACGATGCATAAAATAATTCTGTTGTAAAAAAAAAAAAGGAAGTATTGTCTTGAGATTATCTTTCTATACCATTTTTATCTGTGAATTTACAAAACTTAAAAAATAATTCCAAGGATGTGTATTCGAAAGACAAGGATTCGAACCTCCGTATTCCAAAAGATGTCAAGTCTGTGCCATTCTCCGTCGTCCAGTGTTCGTTTTGGTTTCACTTTCAGCTCCAAAGTACCGGAACCGAAGTCTATCAGAAGTCGGGGTATACCACGTTCCAGTTCAACGGATATAAAATCTGCGAAAACAACGAATTCGAGTATCACGAAGAATGAAGATTTCACCGAACAAATTCTAATAATTTTACAATTCACACTTGCTTACCAGAAACCATTACTTCATCAGCCTCAGGAGGAACAATAGGACCATTGTACAAAAGTAAACCGTCAGGCTTTTTAGTAATGAACTCGAAGCTTAAATGGCTATTGTCGCACATCTCTAGAGCAGGATACCATGCCCAACCATTGCCACGGAAACTTCTTGCCGTCTGTTGACACCTTGGACCGTTGTATCCAGCAGGGCACTGACATCTACGCGATAGAGAAAGAAAATGGTTAATTGAAATCGACACACTGTATTATTATATTGTACTAATTTCCACGATGCCTACGATAATCCAAATCTTCCTTCCACGCAACGACCTCCGTTGTAGCAAGGGCTACTTCTACAAGATTCTCCTTTGCTGAAATTCCGAGCTCCGCATGTACATTCAGCGATTACATCCACCCGTACACCAACCAACGCGGTTTTGTTCGCATTCACCATGTATGGTAAGCTGCTGATGTCCAAAGTGTTCGTGCAACTACCCTCGCACACTTCGTTCTCGTAGTAACACTCGTCGATGCCAACCATCGTTATGTTGATACCGACCTCTTTCTCGATCTAGTTGAATTAAAACGATGTCTTGGTAAATATAGACTGTTTGCTTTTTTTGATTTATTTATTAATTTCGTCTTAACCCTCATCCGTTCCTCAGTTTCGCATCTTAATAGGTCCCTTGGTGTTAATTTGACACAGTGGTAAAAAATCAATTAAATGAAAAGTTAAATAATTAATTATGTAAATTCTTTTATTAAATATAGAAAATAAACAACAAATTTTGTCTACAAATAGCGGAATAATACAATTTTTTATCGGAAAAATGTGTCAAACTGACACGAGGGACGGATGAGGGTTAAAGACGTCGGTGAAAGCCTAAAGATGTGCAAAAGACGTCTGAACAACGTCCAGTGTTACAGATCAAGATGCCTTTGAAACATATCGCTGGGAAGAGATATTTGTTGGCTTTCGACATCTCTAAGACGTTGTGTGTTATCTGAAGATAGTATTATATTTTTGTATAATTATACATATAATTCTGTTTACTATTAAAATCACAAGAACGAGGCGATAATAATTAGAACAAGTTTAGTCAAATTTCTGCTGCAGTGGTAATAAGATTTTTAGCGAAAATGATCAATACTACTTTCAATCGTGAATATTGATCGCTATCTATATTATGCAGAAATTTTTTCATTGGTAATTTTTATAGAAACAACACGGTACACAGGAGTCCACGTTTAATCGAGTAAAAGATAAATAAAAATTATAAAATGAAAATATTTGGTAATTTGAAAATTCAGCTGACTTACCTCTTCGCGATGCATCAGCACAATTCCATTCAGCCTGACAGGCTTATAATAGGGAGACCCATGAGCTGCGAATCTGATATCTGTTAACGGTGGATGCATTCTACGCAATTGCACGCTAAACACGTCTATATTTTCTCTATCGATATTTAACAGATGAGCCAATTTATCTCTAAACAATTCCGCTTTACTACGTGACAAAGTTTGCGACTGAAAGGAGAAGCGAAATAGTAATAAATCAGATACTCGTTTCAGTTGAACGAAAAGAACGAAACGTTCGTTGATCGATCAAATTCTCACCTTGTAGTCCCAAACACGAATGAAATCTTCATCCGTTATACCGGATATTCGAACTGATCCAGAATTTAATACAGCTTCGTGAGGAATTGTTTTCACGGTAACAGTCACATTCGCTGGAACGTCTGTTTGCGTGTGCTTCCGATCGTACACTTTGAAACGTAGATGGTATTTACCGTCGTGAGTGCCTGATTTCATATAAATCATACCGGTGTCCTCGTCTAGCTTAAACTGAGCGTGTTCTAAACTTTCCCAGTAGAACTTTTTATCCGGCAAGTCCCAATCGTCTAAATCGTAGACGTACACTCTGCCTACTTCTGTGTCCGGTGATTGTCCCTATATCGAAAATTTCATTTCTAGCTTCTGTTTAAATTTCATCAAATTATACAAATTTTTAACGATATTTAGAAACGCGCTTAATGCCTTCGATGATCAAAGATTGAAATGATTAAATAGAAATTTAAAGATAACAGGTAAATATTTCCCCTGGAATTTTTAACGTATTATTACTAAATTCGATGGAAACTTTCAAAATTTTTCTTTTTTGTACAGAATAAGGTGGATGATTGTACGTGTAAAAATAAACCGAAAATAAAGAATAAAATTCTTTTGCTGGAAGCCTCGTTCTCCAGAAAATCGAGTCGAAATATTATTGAGCGCGCGTGCACTTGGCTATCCCCTCAACATTTCAAACCCAATTTTTTCGTAAACGGGGCTTCAAACGAAAAAATATTATTCTTCACTTTCGGTGTATTTTTACGCGTAGAATCACCCTCTGCCCAGTTATACCATGTTCTGCCTCACCCTGAATACGAGGGTTACGATATTTAAACGTTGCATTTCATTCCGTTGCTCGTTTAGTTTCTCCATAAGGTATTTACCGGAGTTAGCAAAATTAAATCACGCGCAATATTACCAATCAAGCAAAAAATAAATAAACATGTAACCAAAAATTCAACGTACGAAAGTGTAATTAATACGTACTGCATAATTATATACAAAAATGTCTTTCGATCCAGGCTGCATCTTGTTGTCATTAATGTCCCCGATAATAACCGTTAAAGTACTCGTTCCAGACATCGACGGAGTCCCGGCGTCCTTGATAACGATCGGTATCAAGTACTCCTTTTGTTGTTCTCTATTAAATGATAGTAACGACGACACAATGGCCATGCCATCCCCATTCGCCCCCTCTGCAATGGAACAAAAAGCCGGCGTTTGTTAGCCAGAACTATGGAACTACTGCTAACAACGTTGCTTTTCCAAGGGAATATAATAGGACTGCGACGAGACTCACTGCTATCGCTCTCAACTTTGAAACTGGCACGAATCACGTCGTCCGCCTTTGGATCCATTCTGAAAGTGAACGGTGGGCCATTGCTCTTCGATCTATCGTCGTCGTCCGTTGCCAAGATCTCCACCACTTTTTTCTGTTGCAAATGTTCCTGCAGCACCGGTCGATAATCCTTGAGGAATCGCGGCGGATTGTCGTTTATGTCGTGCACGATTACCGTCAGCGTGGCTGTCGCGGTTTTTGGCGGGATACCGTCGTCGATGGCCAAGATTTTCACCTGAAACGATTTTTCACCGGTTACAGGTAAGTACGTGTCTGTTTGAGAGTAAAACTATCGCGAGTATCTCTCGAGAGTTGCATTTATCGGTGCACACTGTACTGAGAGTGCTATCGGAAAGCTGGATACGAGCAACCGTCGTTTAAATAAATAAATATTGTTCAGACAGGTATGAAGTTGTATTAAAAATGAAATAATTCCTCTCAAGGTAATTGGAGAAAATGAATAAAATAACTGTTATTCCTGTAATACAAAGAATGTTGCAAATAATTTACCTGATGTCTGGGGGTTTCCTCGCGGTCGAGACTCCTCTGGATCGACACAGTGCCATTTTCGTTGATCGAGAATTGCCTCTTACGATCGGAGCTTCTGTCAATCGAGTAATACACTTTGCTCTTGCCACCTTGATCAGGATCGGTCGCTGTGAACGTTTCAAGGCTGTTTCCAATATATGCATTTTCCGCCACTGTGGTCTCGATATTTGCTTTCTCGAACTGAGGCTGATTATCGTTTATATCACGGAGCTTCACGACCACCCAGGAATAGGCAACGTGATACTTATCGTTGTCGTTGTCTTCACCCTGAAAGCGATAAAACATTTGCTACTTGATGTTACTACACAAAAACAATACCTGAAAATAATTACAAAACTAGCGCAGGCGCGTACTATTCTTGCATACAGGATGGTCCTCGACTATTTTCGTTACTAGCAGACCACTCGACATTTTTTTGGTCACAGAGGATCCCTTTTTCAAATAAGTTTTCAAGGTAACGTTTAATGGTTTTATGTATAAATTTTATACATAAAAAATGTATTATATTGTGGTCGTTGAATTCGTCTCAATGCCTGCTATTTACTAAGCAAAAAAAAACTACAGGGTTATATGTTCATCAAAAAAGTGAACGTGACTTTGAAAACTTGTTTTACAAAGAGGCAGAAAAGATACAGGTATAGAGGATATAAAATTGATCGTGTGCACTGTATTTGGGTACACGCTGATTGGACGGCATTATTCTCAATACGACACGAAAGGGAAACATTTTCAACTAAAAAGACAGAATTCTTTCACTTGGTGGTAACTGATATGTCTCTAATTCCTTTCAGAGTATAAGGAGATCTTGCTCCAGCCGACTCTTTGTTACACTTAGACGAAGAAAAACAGGATTTGCCTGTTTAAAAAAAGGAAAAAGACAGAATTCTTTGAGTTTTGAGAATTCTCTCACAACTCAACATCCAGGAAAAACGCCATTCTTAATCTTGTTAGCAGAGGGTAGCCAAAGGAACAACCTCGTTACACTAGGTAAACAGCTGTGGACTTCAGGATTAATCATTTCGACGTACCTTGTCGTTGACTTGTATCCTAAATCTAAAACCGTTGCTCTGCAGTTGGTCCTCGTAATCCAACGACTGTACGATCTTCAGGGATCCCGTGCCATCGTTGTTTCTTACCATGGTGAATTTGTCCGCACCATAACCGCTGTGATCGATCACCTGTGGTTGTGAATTGAAAAACGGCGTGATCAAAGAATTAGCAAACGAAACGAATTGAGAGAAAGCTAGAAAGTTGTTGCAAATTTCAGAAGTTACCAACTTATTTTTCATTAATTCATTTCTTCTGTTTACTTTTGTTTGAACTAGTTTCTCTCTCTCTCTCTCTTTTTTTGTTTAGCGAAGTCTTCGTTTACAAATTGAACAGCCAGTTTGAGAAATCAGAGGAAGAATAACGAAGCTACGAAGAGTGTACCTTGTATTGAAATTTATTTGTTTCATCCTCGTCGTGTACGGTGACCGTAAGAATTGGCATTTCCGGCAAATCTGGTCCTTCAGTTTCGTCTACCTCGGTGAACCATTCCTCTTTTGTAAATTGCGGAGGCATATCGTTTATATCCTTCACTCGTATAGACGCCGTCCCCGTTCCTGAATATTACGAGAATATCATTTCGCCTCGCGAGAAAGGATTTGTAAATTTGAGAAATTGTAAGAAATCTCGGCCGTGTTCGGGAGAGCTCTCGAGAGTACGATACGCATCGAGAACTCGAAAATGTCCTGGGGCATATACTATGTTACGAATAAAGCGAAGATGAACAAATAATCGCATACATGTACGGCATACTTTGTTATTTAAATATTATTAACGCTAGGTTTACGGGACGCGTGATTTTGACGCATTTCGAATGTCATTAGGAAAATTACAGAAACCGTTTTACATTTCTCTCCTACCACTTATGCTTGCTATAAATTTCATATAACTATATTGTTCATATTATCGTTCATTTGCTTTTTACTCATCAATTTGACGCGTGTCCGTAGAGATAGGTATATAGGAAATGTCCGTAAACCTAGTGTTAATTAGAATAATATATAAACAATAATAGAACTTATCATACGCAAGGCAAAGAACACACAAACGCCAACAAGCTGAAATTTTCAAATTTCACCAAGAATCGTAAAATTATCTTCTGCCGGTTCCATTTATTTCATTCCGGAAAAGAGGATTTGTAAATATAAAAAATTAACGCCAACGAGTTAAAATTTGCAAATTTGACAAAGAATCTTCAAATTATTTTCCGTTTGTTTCGCCTCTTCTTTAATTTACCTTTCAGCCCTCCTCCGTCCACCGCAACCACTTGAATAGAATAATCCGGCGTACGTTCCCTGTCCAAACAGCATACTGCCGTTTTTATCACACCGGTTTCCTGTTCGATAGCGAAAATTGGCGAGCCAGTTTCCTCCTCGATAACGTTCTTCTCTATGGAGTAAAGCAGCTTAGCGTTTACGCCCTCGTTTGGATCGTCGTAGTCGATCGCTGTCATAGTCATCACCACCATTCCTGAGACCAAAATCGTGAAATGTTAATTGTAAGTAAGTGGTACGCGTTCGAGAGATAGAAGGAGGAACAGGAATAAAGGAACTCCTGTATAAATTATTTACACTTGCGTAAAAATTCTTTTACACCGCGTAAGAATAATGTGTAGTACTAATTTTCGTAGGATCTTTAACGGAAGTTGATAAAAAATTGTGGGAATTGACAAATTATACCGTATTATAAGATCACAATGGAATTAATGAAAATCTGCCGCGAAAAGTGATCGATCTCCCGCGAAAAGTAGCGTAAATTGATAAATTATACTGTGTTACGATAACGGAAATCTCCCGCGAAAATTTCCCGCCTGACCTTAACGACGATTTTGCTAACGACTTTGGGGAGAGGGTACCGCAGGTATATAAGGACCCGCCGATGTTCCGCGAACTTATTCACCCTTTATACTGGGCCCTAGACACTTCGCGGCAAATTAGTCTTGAAGGTTCTGAGATGTGAATAGGGTGGTCGGGGGCTACTAGCTAGCCTATGTCCACCCTATGCACACACTCTGCCTACTTCTGAAACTTCTTAACTAGCATTCTCAATTATCAATACTTGCAAAATTTCTATTAGACTTTGAAAATTTTTTTATTAAATAAAGTTAAATTACTTCTGCGTTTATCGATTCTTACGGACATGTACTGAAATTTTTATTTTGAAATCAATTTTAGAGAAATTCCAAGTATTGATAATTATCAGTAAACTATTATCAGACTTTAAACATTCCACTTCGAAATTATTTCGAGAGTTTAGGGAAATCGAGATACTTATTAGTAAATTGTTATCAGACTTTGAACGTTCCGCTTCGAAACGAAAATTGCGAAATTAGGTTGAGAGTTTATTGAAATCGAGATTTCAATTTTGGGATAGGATATCGATTTTCGAACGAATTTGAGATTCCGCTAATGGAAAGTTTCGTCGTTTCAGGTGTTTGTCGAAATTAATCGAAAAGTTTTCACTAGGTAACTAATTAAATACATTTTCGTTACAGCTGATTAATAATATTTACCTTTATTCCAGCTATTGAATCTAGTTTGAATTTTTCTATTATTTTCTCTGATATTGAATTGATTGTACGATTTGTCATTTTGTAAACAAATAATTCACAGCTGTCCAAGGATTTGCATGATTTGCATGAAGTAGTCAGTTGAATTGTTGTATTTTATATTGTGACTTGCTGATTTGCAACGAGTGGACTATACTCGTTGCACTGTGCCCACCTTAATTAAACCGTCTCAGTAGTTTACCGTAATTTTCCGAATTTATTTTGAGAATTTTTCAATTTTTATAAATACTAGAGTCACCGAATCGCGTATTGAAGCAATAGCTTCACCCCTAGTTCGCTTATTATTGAATATTTTCCCGCGTTTAACTGATACTTCCTCCCCAATTATCGTCGCGTATTTTATTCAAATTTTCATCGATTACAAAATCGAAAAGGATATCAATTCGCGTTTGTTCCTTTCTTTCAATTTTTCGCTCGCGTTCTACGAAAGTTTGGTTCAATAATAACACTGAAAGTAATACAAATTCGCGGCTTCCCCCTCACTAAATAAAACTGAAATAAATCGCGTTGCGAAATACTTTTCGCGTCGTCCATTCCACAGTGACTCGCAATTTGTGGGTCTGCGAGTCTTGGAAAATGAACTGGAACTGGAAGGATGACGATCTGAGAGGAAGGAAGGAAGCAATGCAGCCAAAATCCACGTTGCACAGCCCAGTTGTCTAATCTGCGAATTGTGAGTGACAAAAATGGGTTTTTTTTCTGGGAATATGGTTAAGTAGTTAGTTGTATTGTCTATTGCCCCTAATTCAACCGTCTCACTAGTGTTTCGCAATTAATAATCAATTTTAGTAAATATTAGAGTCAGTGAATCGCGTATTGAAACAATAGCTTCATCCCTAGTTCGCTAATTATTGAATATTTTTCCGCGTTTAACTGACACTTCCTCCCAGTAAAGTCGAGAAAGATTCGCGTTTGTTCGTTCGCCGCGTTTATTTCATACTTTCAATTTTTCACTCGCGTTCTACGAGAAAGTTTCGTTCGATAGTAAAATTTAAAGTAATGTAAATTCACGGTTTCTCCCTCTCTAAATAAATCGTGTTTCGTACACTTTTCGCGTCGTCCATTCCACAGTGACTCACAAATTGTGAGTCTGAGTCTTGGAAAATCAACGCCGAGGAACTCTGAGTGGAAGGATGACGGTCTGAGAGGAAGGAAGGAGGCAATGCAGCCAAAATCTACGTTGCAGAGCCCAGCTGCCTAATCTGCGAATTGTGAGTGAATTTTTTTGGGTTTGGTGATTGGTTATATATGTGTGTGCATGTTTGAAGCTGAACCACCAAGAGCTCGAAGAAGAACTGCACGGATGTCTGTTGCACTACTCGGTGCAAACGCCCACCATTTATTAGAGTTTCCCAATTAGTATATCGCGTCAATTCAATTTAGAGTCAATTTCCGTAATGAATTTTTATTTTCGCCCATTATTTTCGGTCGATACGAGAATTTATTACGTCGCGTCGCGATTGATGTAATAGCTTCATCCCTTTTTCGGTTTTTGCTTCTCCTTTTCTCCGCGCGTTTATTTCATACCTCCCTTAAACTTTTCCTAAATGTCCCAACTAAAATGAACTACACAAAAATACGAAGGATGATAAAAATTCGCGGTTTCGGGGACTAAATGAAATTCGACGGGTGAAACTACACTTGAAAAAAATCGCGATCCGTACAGAATTTCGCGCGACACTTCCACAGCTTCCTGAGTCTGGTGGGTCTTGGTCATTGGCTTTGGGTCTCTCAGTCTGTGATTTTGGCTATCGGTGGGATGAAAATTTAAGGCTGAGGTAATTCCAATGGTCCACTGAGGGAATTTCAAGTTTCACGGGTCTGAGAGGAGCTTCCAAGTCAATCGTGGGTGAAAATTGAAGGCTGAGAGAAATTTAAGAGTGCACTGAGGGAATTTCCAAGTTTGATGGGCCTGAGAGGAGGTTCCAAGTCAATCGTGGGTCAAAATTCAAGGCTGAGGGGAATTTCAAGTTTCACGGGTCTGAGATGAGCTTTCAAGTCAATTGTGGGTGAAAATTCAAGGCTGGAGAACTGAAATGGGTCGTTGAGGGAATCCCCGAAGGCTGGATAGATCTGAGAGGATGGAACTGCAGCCAAATTGTAAGTTGCCTGAATTGTTTATCTTTCTAATCAAATGTGTATTTTATTTTTGCAGGAAATATCCCGATTTATTAGTCCCCATCGAAATAATAGGATTGTCACATCGCGTTTGATAATAGGGATTTCAATTTTTCTTTCGTTTCTATCCTTTCCTTCGCAATTTCTGACGAGTGTTGCATCGAAATTTTTGGTAAACGATATAAGTCACGTCCCTTATTAAATAAAATTAAAATAAATTTCCTGGCCGTGCTTGATCATAGAGATCAATTCTCAAAGCTTGTTCTTGCCAATATCGACGAGGCAAAAAGTATCGAAAATACTGAAATGGTTCGAGGTAGGAAGAAAATCTATTTCACAATGCCCACCTGTGTGGATTGTGTTTACAGTGTGTTGTACGTTTCTTCAACGGTTAATTAAACATTCTTCGGACGAATATTTCGAGCTCCTATCTCCAATTCTAAAATGAATTTTCTCGTGAGTTTTATTCTGAGTTCCTTTGTCGGAGGTTTAAATAGAAATTCTATTAGTATGATTTTACAAATAAATAATAAAATGATTTTATGTGTGTTTTACTATGAATTCCACTTTTCTCCTTCTGATTATCCACAAGTAAGAAAGATATCCTAATCATTTATCCTCGTATTCCAACTTATAATATGCAATAAAATAAAGATATTAATGTATTAATGTGTGGTCTGCGTTTAGGGAGTTGTACGTTTTTTCGATGATCGATTTAGGTAAATATTTCGAGCTCACAAAAGAGTTCAATTTTCTCCTGTTCGAAAAAGAATTTTGCCTTGAGTTGAGGTATGAGTTTCATTATCAGAGGTTTAATTAGGTATTCCCATTGCTACGATTTCATATAAGAAAGATATCCTAACAATTTATCCTCCTATTCCATTTAATAATATACTTCTTTTCTTACAGAACTTCGTTGTATATTTTATCAATTTTTATCGCACGTTAGCTTTAAGTAACTCTAAGGTAGAAAATTGTACCGAGTGTGAAGTGAGCGTGAGTTTTAACTTTAAGTATGTAGTTCGTAAGATGAAATAAGTTAGCATAAGACAATCGAAAATATTCTATTCATCCACCGATGGACATCGTGGGATGCGTGCACTCTAATTTTAATTTTAATTTTAACTAGTTCGTCAAATAAAATAAGTAATTATAAGATAGAAAAATTGTATGAAATACAATGTGCGCGCTTTCTTACAGAGATACGCGACTCATTTGTAGCATAAGATATCATTTCTATCGTCGATTCGAAACATAGAATGATTCTCGATCACTCCTTTGAGCTTCTCGTTAGATACTTTGTGTTAGGCTAGTTGGTTCCTTCGAGTGATCGCGAATTTCTCATTTTTCAATACCCCATTAAGGAAGTTTAGAATCGGGAATTAGAAGGAAACGAAATTTTTCGAATCTTGAAGTGTCCGATTTTCTTTGCTACAAATGAGAATCGCGTATCTCTGAAGATAGAAAGCTGCCAGTAGGGCCACTGTTTTTGTCGGGTCCCTTGCGTAGTCACCTCCTCGTGGTGGGACCTGGTAATTGCTATTCTTTTCCAAAGAACATTCTCACTTTTGGAAAGGGACAGCAAGCTGAGTACTACGCGTACCCGTGGCCACTATGATTCTCACGAATACAGAGTGGACTACGGGTACAAATTATATACACAATTGGTAGACTTTCTGATACGCGAGCGTTTCAACTTCAAGTAGTTCGTCAGATAAAATAAGTGAAGTAAAGTAAGATTTTTGCATTACGCGCGTTTCAACTGTAAGCAATTGATAAGAGCTCGTAAAACATGAAGGGAATGAATTCTAAGGTAGAAAATTGAACACTATGCTATTCTGCTTTTTCTAACACTTATTCGATATACAAAAATCCCAATGGTTATGGAAGAAATAATCAGATACGCAAAAAACCATAAAGAGAAAATGAAAACACATCCCAACCAACTAACTGTGGAGTGTACTAACACTATGCTATTCTGCTTTTTCTAACACTTATTCGATATACAAAAATCCCAACGGTTATGGAAGAAATAATCAGATACGCAAAAAATCATAAAGAGAAAATGAAAACACATCCCAACCAACTAGCTGTGGAGTGTACCTCGTAAAAGGAGCATGGCATATAAAACCATAAAAATTAAAGAATCACCCTGAGGTGAAATTTCATTGGAAACTGTCACCCACGTGCTATGTAATCCATAACACATACAAGAATTTACCTAATCTCCAATGGACAAATTGTTCTAAATTCGAACATTCTAATTCTAACATTGGAGTAAGGGAGTCGACTATTTCCAACAATTCCACAACACAAGCCGTGAACCATGGTATGCCGGTAAAAATCTAAAACGAGAAATTGTAACAACGATAAATAAATGTGGATCAGGCCATTATAATTTCGCTCGAATAGGCATTACAATACGAAAGACAGGGCAATGCCCACTATTCGATAGTCAGAGAACCACCCTCGTCAGAAAATTACATAAAATGAACTACCCTCTTCCATTGTCACGCAACCTTACACTCTGGAAACCCACAGGAGATTTGTAACGCCGTTCACTCGTTCCTAAAAAGCTGCAAACTATCTGTCTAAAACATTGTACCTCTTTGACAATTTTTCGTACACGCGATGAAATGCAAAATAATCTCAAGAGAGATTAAAATTGCTCGAAATAAAAAAAAAATATAATTCTAACATTCTAACGTAATATTCTACTTAAACAAGTACGGGAGAAGATTTCAAGTACTGAGGAATTAGTAGAATCGATGCCTAAACGCTTACAAACTGTCGTCGATGCAAAAATAAGAATTGTAATATAAACGGACAAAAGTGTGAAATAGCTTTAATACATAAAATTCGCTATTCTATCGAATTTGACCGTAAAAAGTTGCTAAACTACCGATAATAAAAGCTACTAAACTAAGAGAATCGAAAGTATTACATTTCACGAAGTCATCTTTATCCGATTGTTATCGTAGAAAAAGAAGAAAAGAAAGAGGTGGTAGGTATATTTTCTTCGTGTCGAAAGAATAATCGAGCGTTACCTGCCGTCCCATTTTCCGTCACGTTCCCGAAATAAATTTTCGGAAGGAACGCCGGCGCATTGTCGTTGATATCCTTGAGGTTCACCTGAACGTCAGCGTAGCCGACCAAACCTTCTCCGCCTTCATCTTGAGCAAACACAGTGAATCGCCACTGCGGCCTTCCACTTGGCTGATCCCTGTCCAGTGGCTGTGGAAAAATGGCCGGATTACGGCTTTAAGTGGGCTTAGGATGCTAGACAAATTTAATAAAGCAAGAAGCATGGTCAATCCTTCATACAACTTTGCACCGCTTCTTCGCGGAGAGATGCATTTTCCGGCAGGATTACGAATTAAATTGCGATTCACCGACGAAAATTTCACGTGCTTCTGCTTTACTATTCTCCTCCCTGCTATGTTATAAATGCTCAACACGGTTTAACGGAATAGTTCGTTCATTAGCAGATTTATATCGAATTAGACACGTTTTTTAAGGGAAACGTGTGAAAGCGGAGTGAATTTTTGAATTTGCCGAAATATGTTCAACGAAGGAATATAAATTAAATCAGGCTTTATCGAGTGTGTACGGCTTTCCATCGTTTCGAAACGTGAAGAGATTCGAAATTGATTAATGGACAGGAAAACCGGTCGTCAATCAGGGGGGAATTAAATAGCTAGCAAGGAAGATCAACCGATACACGTTGATTTCGATGAAACTTCGCAGACACGTATTTTTGTTCAGCTGCTAATATTTGTGTTTAGGGAAAACTATTAGTTGGAATATCTTGAAAAGGGGTGGACGCAGAGGAAAAATGTTGAATACGAATTATGTCTGCTTCTTCGCGAGGAATGATATGATGTAAACGAAATTTGGGCAAGATTTTAATTCCGTCTGGAAATTTGAGTCGCTTAATTTCTATGAGAACGTTTATGAAAAATATCTCTCGGGAGAAACAAACCTTTAGAACGTAAATTTCGCCGCTGGTGCGGTTAATATCGAATTTGCTGTTCGCTGGATTATCAGGATCGATACCTTGACCAGTTAAGAAGTAGACAATGTTCTGTGGCCTATCCTTGTCACCATCGGTCGCTGTGACCTGTGGAAAAAAAAATGAAAAAATTGCACGCAATTGATAAGTCGCTTCTTTTTTATCACTTCGTCAGAGACGTTACGATATTTCAAATTTTCACATCGCGGTACAGAAATTCACTATTGTGTGTACGCAGCTTATGTTCCATACATGAGATTCTATAGTCTACGATACATATTTTATATTTTACATTATGTATTCTATGTTGCTCAATCCATACTTTATGTTCCCCCATTCGATATCACGCTTTCGCGTTCTGAATTCCGTAATACACCGTGTACTCCACAGGTACAGCCCCATTGGTGTTTATATTTTACAATTCTCGTACGTAGGCGTAGATTGTTTGAAATATAACAAGTAGTAGAAATTTCTTTATAAAATTTCAAATTTAAGAACTGCTAAATGCTCTCGTAAATTTACAAATTTGGAATTACTCAATTTAATCGTAAATTTCCAAATTTGGAATTACTAAATTCTCTCGTAAATTTCTAAATTTGGAATTACTAAATTCTCTCGTAAATTTCTAAATTTGGAATTACTAAATTCTCTCGTAAATTTCTAAATTTGGAATTACTAAATTCTCTCGTAAATTTCTAAATTTGGAATTACTAAATTCTCTCGTAAATTTCTAAATTTGGAATTACTAAATTCTCTCGTAAATTTCTAAATTTGGAATTACTAAATTCTCTCGTAAATTTCTAAATTTGGAATTACTAAATTCTCTCGTAAATTTCTAAATTTGGAATTACTAAATTCTCTCGTAAATTTCTAAATTTGGAATTACTAAATTCTCTCGTAAATTTCTAAATTTGGAATTACTAAATTCTCTCGTAAATTTCTAAATTTGGAATTACTAAATTCTCTCGTAAATTTCTAAATTTGGAATTACTAAATTCTCTCGTAAATTTCCAAACTTAAGAATTGCCAAATTCTCTGATAAATTTCCAAATTTGGAATTACTAAATTCTCTCGTAAATTTCCAAATTTGGAATTACTAAATTCAAACCTGAATTAAAAATAAGTCGACTGAACGTAACGTATGAACTCTATTTAGAGTAATAATTACCCCAAGGACACGTTTTGGCAAAGTCCTGTCGTCCTCTTCGGTGATCTGTGTCCTGTAATTTGGACGCTCGAAGACAGGCGGATTATCGTTTACATCCTTCACGTGTATCACGACCGTCGTGTGGTTCTCTTTCAAGTTATCAGACGCGGTGAGGCGGAGCTCATACTGTAAGATTAAAGTGGAACAAGTGGATAACAGCGTTTGCAGCTGACTTGAGTTACTACACTGACAGCGGTCTTTTTTTTTCGAGAAAAAAGGAACGAGTTTCTTCAAGCTAACTACTTACTATCGTTCTAAAAATCAACGAGGTCATTGTGAAAATGATTAAACAACGAAACTCCGTATAAAATCTCGAATGATGAAAAATAGCTAGAGGACCGGGCGTTCATTCTTTGATAAGCTTCAAAAGTGCAGGAAATTAATGATACGCTAAAAAAAAACTTGCTACGCGGAAAGTTGTGATAAAAAGAAAATTACGATAACACTGGGATATTGTTGCATTATATCTGACGGGGCAAACAAATTTAGAAGAAACGAGATCGCGAGATGATGGAATAATTTGAAGAGTATGAAAGTTTCTTCTTTAACACAATTCATAACGAAAGAAACAACAGATAAGTATTCTTATGAACATAAAATGTAGTTTTGAAAACTTATTCCACGAAATAAGCCAGAAAGCTAAGGAATTAATCGAAAGAATTTCGAATTTTGTCATTTCGATAGCATTTATTGTAATTAATTATTTTTCAAACGAATTTTACACACGGTAGAACGTTAACATTTAAATTTATCAGAAGAATGTTTCTTCAATTCTTCGAAAACTCGTCATATTTGCGGAAATCGTGAAAAGCCAGGGCAAATATATTCCGAGCGAAGAGAATTTTCAGGGTGTTCGATTCAAAACAAGCGATTTCTTCAATTTCCCACTGAAATTTACAATAATGCCATTTTTACGACACGTCATCTAGAGCCGCATAAAACGGAAGACTTATTAAAGCAATGACAAACTCGTGTGCAGGAAACGTGCAATAACCGGGAAACTTTTTGCACTATTTCCCGATTTTATTGGGTTGCGAGTAATAAAACGCGAAACTCGGGCCGTGGTTAAAAGGATTAACCGTGTTACGTATGGGGGAGGCTCTCGACAAGTTCCTCCCTCTGTTTTTCCTTTCCTTTTCCACCGCTGTCAGTGTTTTCCGCGAAACCACGATGTACTAACCCTTTTCCTTGTCTCGTAATCTAATGCACCTGCGACGTAAATGGCGCCAGTCATATTCTTCACGGCGAATGCACCGCCTACGTTACCGCTCGTAATCTCGTATCGAATACGCGAGGCTGTAAAATGCAGAGAAAGATCCTTTCAGATGGAATTCCACGGGAAATTACGAGATCTATTTTCCCCCCCCATTCTATCATCCATGTCCTGCTCGTGAAACGGCCGAGAGATACGCGTCTTGAACTTTTCTTCTTACAAGTTGCCGAGTGAAAGAAGATGCAAGGACGATCCTGTCGCGGCGTATAGACAGAGAAATGCAATGTAGCGAGCAGCTAAATGCCAGGCTACGTAAATCTCTCAAAACGAGTGCCACCGCTGAGTTACTGCCGACTTGTGGGTGCTCCGGAACTTCGTGGGAACGGAGTTCGATCGCCGTGGAAGTCGTAAGCGTTCGCTTGGCTCTCTCTCTCTCGTGTCTTTCAGGATCGAGGGGGCTGAATGGTCGAGCTAGAAAACCTCAGTTACCCAGAACGAACTTCCAAGAGCCGTGAGTTTACCACGGACGCATTCGAATAACTCAATCTCGAGGAGTTAAGCTCTGCGTCCTTTTTCTTCGCGGGATGTAAACTGCGCGTGATGCAAGAGACCGGTGTTAAGGTGGTATACTATCTTGGGGTTTTTAAGAATAGCTGAAACTTTGGGAATTTTTTTCGATGTTTTTCAGAGGATGTAAGAGTAACTTTCAGGTTTTGTCTTCAGTTTTTGGAAAGTAAGAATGTTACAGAATGGAGGAGTTATTAGCTAATTGACAAACTTCTTCTTTTAAAAGAATTCTTTTTGATTTTTCATTTTTGTAATTATTATAGGAACGACGGTAGGCTGAAGAAGAGAAAGTTTTTTCTACCAAAAGAGTCGACTAGAAAATTTCATAGTTGACATATTGAAAAAATTGTAAGTTACATTTTTATTTTAGACGTTGATGTTCCAGCAGAAGTTTCACAATAACTCCTCGATTTTGTAACACTTTTGCTTTTTAAAAATTGGAGGGAAAAGCTGAAAGTTACATTTATATCTTCTGAAAATCTTGAAACTCTTCATTTAGCAGTTGTGTATGACAAAAAATTCCCAAACATTTCCTTTTCTTTCTGTCATTTATAACATAATACGCACAATGTAGTTTTAGATATCAGAATTGCATTAATCTTCGAGATTTCTCAATTTTGAAAATTTCTTTCTAACGCGTTTGCCTCTGTCGTAGCAAATATTCAAATGCATCCAATTATATTTCTATATTTGCATTAATATTCTCGTTGCAGTTGTACACCATTTTCCACGCGATTAAATCAGAGTTCGTTGAAACACCACAAGTGTTTTCAAGTTTTCCCTTACACTTTCACGGTCCACCACAAAATTGTTATTTAAACTCTTTTTTCACCGGCTGCAATGTCGATTCAATCACCGAGAAACAAAAAAAAAAAAGAAAGATAATTGACTACCGACAATCATCCAGAACAAAGTAAACAATCGAATATTTCATCTTTCTGATAATCGACTTTCGACGACGCTCGACTCTAAGCGCAGGATTCATTAAACCGGTTGTTCTTGAAATTTTCACCGGGAAAATTTCCCCGGGGGAGCCTTGTTCAATTGTAAGTAGTAGAAAAATTAATTCCTCCGTCTGTATTCTTCTTTCACTCGAGAACGGAAAAAAAAGAAAAAGAAGGAAAACGATTGGACGTGGTCTTGGCAGGCAGGTAAACCAGATCTGTCTTTAAAGCGAGTTTTATTAGAACTTAATAAGGCAGAACGTCTAAGTTCCTTAATTGAGGTCCACCGGATAAATATGTTCCGTGTCTTCGGATCCGGCCGTCTGGTATTTAAACTTTTGTAAGCAGTTTATGTGCCTTCGGAGCAGGAGTCACGAAAAGGCAGATGGATTTTCGCGGAACTTGTTAGCTGGGTTAAGGATACAGAACTTTGAGCCGAAGTATAAAATCATTAGCAGGAATAGAGGGAAGACACACAAGGCGAATTTCAACTGTACCTTGCGAGAACTCCAGACGGTCTGAAAATTATTTTTCCAGCCCTCGTCGCACCGATATCTCTGGTTATTATTTCATGCGTCGCGATAAAAGCCATTTTTCCATTTTTTTGGTAATGTTGCTTAGTTCGAAAGCGAGTATTGTGGATTGTATAAAGCACTCTTTTCTTTTTCTCTTCTATTTTTAGCCATACAAGTGTTTTATATTTGACAGAATTCTTTTGTTAAAAAAAGTGGCGAGATGCTTTAATTTAGAAATGTGCAAAAGTAGCGCGAAATTATTATTAAAAATTGCAATTCGATTAATTCAGAAACACTTTGTAGACATGGAACGCGCATCTTTTTGTAGATTTAAATATCTATGAGAAATATGGTCTTCCCATTTTCGTGTGAAAAATGTTACTACTGATAACGAGAAAACTAGAAATTTTGAAGTTTACTTTGTCTTCCAAGGATGAAGAACTGCCACCTTCGTTTACTCAGAAACCGTAAATATTTCTCGAGTAATATCAAATTGTACCAGGGCATTTAAGATAATAAAAAAATTACTATTGTAACAAGGAAAAGAACAAATATGATGTATGTACAAGTTAAAACAGGAACAGAACCTCAACCCTGCTCAAAATAAAATATTTGTTTAACACCACCTAAATCGTCGTTTACAAAAATAACAAAAATCACAGGAAACAGCTTCTTTGAATTCCCAGAACCTTCTTTAAGAATACCAAAAACAACAGAACAATTAATTATTCAAAATCCTTAAGAAAACATTTTTCACATTGCAGCTGAGTACGAATCAAATTGCAATTAAACTAAAAAACTTTGATATCCCGATCGGAGATGTCTCCGACTGTTCGGTGTGTCTTCATCAAGGGACCTCTATCCCTGACAGATTCCGACGTTTCCTGGTGAAAGAAACAATGGCAAACGCGTCACCGCGTGTCACAAAGTTCCCTCTCCGAAGGGTAACTCTCATTGAAAATTCGTCAAAAGTGAGAATAGGTTTCTGCGTATGTGTCCACTTACACTCGTCGTGATCTTTGGCGGTGACAGTGAGGACCGTGTGCTGGATATCCTCATTTTCGTCTACTTCAGCCTCGTAGAGGCCTTTGTCGAAGTAAGGCGGATTGTCGTTCTTGTCAGCTATTCCAATACGGATGAATTTTGTCACTGTAACAGACAAAAGGGAGAGCATCGCATTAAAATTTCGTTCCTTTCCCACTGCGATATGAATACATGTTCCGTCGCGCAGGTACGGAACGTATGGGGTCTTCGTTGACCGGGTTTATGGCACGCTCGCACGAGAAGACGCTTCGTAGCTCCGCGAAAAAATAAGTAATTTCTTACAGAACAATGCCTTTAGAATTTCGACTTTTCCGCGTCCTCAATACCCAAAGAGGTGTCATAAACCAGGTATTACTGAAGGGTCAATCCACACGCGCGTATAACAGCACTCTCGGCCGAGGGTTAACCTGGCGGGAATTTCCGACGCGTCACCGAAGGACAGCGAAGATTCCACGCACCCGCAGGTAGGGCGCCACTCCTTCCAAGGAAAAGCGCGCTAAGGGCGCAATGGAAGGGTGGGTGACACTCGAGGGGCACGTTGATTGGTAATTTGTGCATACGTGAAAAACCAATCAGCGTGCCTTCTTGCACCTGGCAAGAACCACGTTGATTGGTAATTTGTGCATACGTGAAAAACCAATCAGCGTGCCTTCTTGCACTTGGCGGGAGAGTCAGTGCGAACTCTAGAAAAATTCGGCGATCGAGCGAGAGATTCGAAAAGGTTCCATCGAGCGAACACCACTAGATCTCCAGCCGTTCGAGGAGACACAACATTCAGGAGACAGATGAAATTTTCAGCGTGTGTATAATTGACATAGATCTATAAAACGTATTTTTTAAATTTTCACTACGAGCTCAGATAAAAAAGTTGTAAAAACGACTTTCGCTATTTTCTTCGCAATTCCGACTAATTGCAGTTTTTTCAAAAAATTTTTTACACGTCGTCTAGTAAACTAATCTTTCTAACTTCTCGAAGAAACGCAAGTAGTTTGGCCCAATTTTAAAAAAGTTATTCCATTTTATAGGGTGTATGAATACTTTTGTCCTCCACTGTATATAGGTCGCCGGGCAATCCCTCTAAAAGATTCAAAGCTTGTATTTCCTTATGATATATTCCTTGAATATGCAAATTCGTTTCTATCCAGCTTTTTAGAAATCCTTCGGTGTCTATTGTGAAGGCTCGCGTATACGTTCTCGAGATAAGGAGTCAGGGGACAATATTTTATTTCATCGCTGTAAGAGGTTCGTTTGATTTCCCAGAGAAAGAGAGAGAGTCCACGTGCAATTGCACAATATTTACCTTGAAAATTCACGAGTAATTTCCATGGATATTACACGTATATTCTTAAAAGGCTTTTTCGTGGAATAGAATTCGATTCTTCTGTTTGAATTACAAATAGCAAAGTCGACCAGCTTAATATTCATGGCGAAAGAATTCTGGAGCACCTTTTCTTTCCAAATAGCAGTGAAGGTCTTCTGCCTCCGTTAAGTAGTGGAAGATTTCCATACAGCGTTTATATTTGTCCCTTTTCTTCCTTTCTTTATTACTTGATGTACAAGGTGTCTCGAGTTTTTTCCCCGACAAACTGCTATGGTTTATTCTTCAAATAAAAGTAAGAAAGAAATGTTATAAAATTGTGCAGTGAACGTTTCGTTGCCAAGTTATAAGTGAATAAATATTGTATACCATGAAATAGCAGATTTTTAATTTCGTAACAATTCCGTGTCACGAGAAATAATTACTTAGCATAGTTATTTCCTCAAGTCAAAATGTCGTACAATATTTACTTGCTTGTAACTTTGTAACAAAATATTTATTGCAGAACTTTATATACAATTCTTTCCTTATTTTTATTTAAAGAATAAACCACGGAACTTTGTCGGGAAAAATCTGGGACACCCTGTATATGCATTTAGATATTACACGAAGAACATACGTATCTCTTTCTTGCATAAAAGAAATTCAGAAAATTTTAATTCTACTACCTAAGTTAAAATACACACCGTTGTTAAAGAATAACGAGAATAGAGCAATAGCAATTTGCGAAAAATAATAAGAACTTTTCTTCGTTTGCTTTTACAATTTTTACAACATTTACATTTATTCCGAATAATTTTCAAAATATTTCCGTCGCATAAGACGAGCATTTCATTTTGTTAATACCCGACACAGACTGCCTCCAGTGAAACGTATACATATGTATACCAGATTAAAATCTCGTATTAGCCGATTTTCATTCGTGCACAAACTAGAATTGGCGAGCAGCTCTCTCGTCTTGTTCGTGCAACTTGACATTTCACAGTTAATTTATGCAGATAATTTAATGGAAAATTCATGTTCGGTAATTTATTAGCTTCCGCTGCTGACCGGAGATTTGAGGAACCGGGCATCGATCTTCGCGGCGAAACGGTTAAACGAAGACAGAAGTTCATTACGAAAGCAGCGACGAGAACTGATTGATCATAAAATCGTTGACTGTGGTCAGCGGATTCTGTTTTCCAACTCATTTTGCATTCTTAAATTATAAGGGAAGAAGAATATCCTGAATTAAAAGATTATTACAAACTCGCGATTCGTGTAAAGAAACATACATACGTAATTACACGACTTTACACGAAACTGGTCGTTGAGAAAAGTGTGAAAATTATTTCGATAAAACGCAATGTGCCTAATCTTTCATTTAAAAAGAACACGTTTTCTATGCGTCAACCTAATATTTCACTTTACAACGTTAATTAGTTCGACTTCGAACAAACATCGTGGGCACAGAAGCTTCGGAAGAAGAAAATAACATTATCGGTACCTTCAAAAAATTTACTTCGCCCACCTAATTACTGCAACCTTTCACGGTGTCCTCTACCTAGCAAAACACAGGGTGTTCCTCGAAACAGCGCCCTCGTCGTCATTTCGAAAAAAAAAAAAACTCTGTCTGTTGTGTACGAAACAGAGTTTTTCACGAGCCGCTTTCACGAAAATCACCGTTGCGGAAGACTAATTTTTATGATCGCGGAATCAGTGTTCCTCGAGGACAGATCACGGTGGAGCGCGTTCCCACGTCGATTCTCAACGAGGTGGAATTCACGCGTAGCTGGCTACCGTGTAATCGGTGAAACGATGTATCCGAAATATCTGCGCGCCGCTAATAGGCGGATTATTAAGATGAATTTCAGCGTCAATTTGGCGAACGCCAGGATGCAGAGCATCGCTGTAGGCAATTTGCCTCGCGTATCTTGGGGAGTTTGACTTCCCTCTTTACACGAGAAATACCTGTCTGATTATGTTAATTCGCCCACCACGCTGGAACGCTTCAGCCATCGGTACCTGAGTTACTCTGGAATTCCACGTGGATTAATTCTGTCCCCAAAAACGAATCGCGTCGAGTGTGGACGACTGTGAGAGCTCGAAGACCGAACGTTTATCCGACGATGGAATTGCATGACACGCCACTTGCACGGAAACGAAGGTGGACCAGGGTGAAATTCCTTTAGGGCAAGGATCTCTTTGTTGTGTTGAAGTTCCGCGAGATTTTACGCTCGAGGTGTGCAGTTTTTTAGGATATCGGATATATACACTCACGTTTGTAGGTATTGGGACATTTACCGAGTGTGAAGCAAACATTGAATGGTCGTTAGAAAGTTATTCAGCTTGGAATTTCTGTGAAAATCTAAAACAATTGGATTTGTCACTTGTTTTGGGTTGCATCGATCTTTTCATAGATCGTAAGAGCAAGCATTCGGTGAAATATTTGATTACACGGTGAAAAAGTATTTTTTAATTCACCCAATGGGAAAATTCGGAACAAATATACGACTTAGGCCATTTTCATATGTGAGCAATTCTGCACAGTTTGGAATTCGAAGAAAATCGAAAAAACCGAAGCAAGAATAGAAAACTCCGCAGAAAAAACTGCGGTCACCCATCTTTGCTAAAATCCCAGGGATTGTAGCTGCACTTACAAAAGCACCTATCCTGGGACCAGTGCTCCACACCACTTCCATACTTCCCTAAGTTATTCCTTAACAAGGTACACAAGTAAATGCAGTAGGACACTGTACGTTCCTCGACGCAATCGAACATCCACCACCAACCGGGTTCGTTCATTCGTTCAAGGTCATGGTCACGGCTGGCAAGGTCATCTTAACGGTAATATATGCACGCTAATTCTTTCTTCTTTTTCTCTCCTCCTCCTCCTCCTCCTCTCTTTCATCCTCCGTCATGCAGAACCGTCCACAAGCGGTTTTCATGCGTCACGCGGAAGACACTTGTGCACACGCGAGATTCATCGAGGACGCGAGCGTGTCGTGGAACATCTGGCGAATGCCTCTTCTCTGCGAGCTTTCGAATCTCACGCGAGGAAAACCGGCTGTTTAGCGAGCCACGCTTCACGACTGACAATGCTGGATGAATGTAATTGCCGGTTGCTCTCGGGGCAGGCTCCATCTTAGCCTGCTCGAATGATAGAAACCTGGTAATTTAGCCGACCATTCGCAGGGGGGCAGGTGTTCCCGATGTACCTTCAACTTGCAAAGATGTTCCCTCCAGCTACTTACTCTCCCTCTCTCTCTACCTTTGATCGTGAGCGTTCCGTGAGAGATGGATACCGTTACGGTATTCTCGATTGCAGACTGAATCCTCGCGCAAGGACACTGATCGCGCTTTTCAATTAAACTGATCGTACTTCGTGGGGTGTCTTAGAACTTCGTCTTGGTAATTACCAGCAGATGATCGAGGCTGCGGTATCGTTTGTAAGGGGTGTTTTAAGGAGATCATTCTGTTGTCAGAATTTTTTGAGAATCGGAAAATTTGTTGTATCAGTTCACAATTCTAACATCTACATTTTAAATTAGAGAACAAGACGAATTTACGAGTTCACTGATCAAACGAAGACTTACCTCGACTTTAAATTCTCCTCGGAAATTCGTCACTTTAACTCTCTGCGGCCGTATTTTCCGTGGCCATCATAGTCGCACCGATCGGAATTACTTTTTGGTAGCGCTTGCTCGGTCAATTATTGCCCAAAAACGTATAGATTTGATTCAAATGTGTTTCTTCA